ACCTTTTTGTGAGTTAAAGTCTTTTTCTCGCTGGTCTTTTTAGTATAGTTTTTAGTGAGACACATTTTTAGGTTCAGAGCATCTCTGAAAACAATTTTGAGTTTTTCAGGTAATTTTTTTTTTTAGAATTTTGTCCTCTTTTAGGATGTCCCAATGTTTATTGATTATTTTCTTCAGTAACCCATAAGCTTGTTTTTAAAAAACATCATCATTGCAATTACGTTCTAGTCTGGTGAGTTGGCTTTTTGGAACGCTTTTGAGCCGTGTGGGATAATGGCAACTACTAAAATCTATAAATGTGTTTGTATGTACTTTAAAAAAAAAAAAAAGGTTTTAGTGAGCAGCTGGTTATTTTCTATATAGATTTCTAAATCTAAAAATTGTACTTTACTAGTGCTGAGATCAGTATTTAGTTTGATACCCCTTTCGTTATTGTTTAAGAAACCTAAAAAATTGTTAAGATCATCGTTTGTGCACTCCCAAATAACAAATAGTTCATCAATATTGTGACGAAAGCAATTTCGACACTGGTTTTTGGAGAGGACTAATGGCCAGCCTTTTGCCCAAAGACTATGGGCCCAGCAAAAAGACATGTTAAAAAGTGACTTCCATGGGAAAATGTGCCTCTTCCCCTCCCCCTTTTTTCTGTCCTATTGTTTCCCTAGCAGAGCGTTGTCCCAGGGACACTGCCAGAGCAGTTTAAACTAGCTGCCTTGTCCCTCCTCAATCTCCCATCAGCCCTTGCTATTGTCTGACTCCACCCTTCCTTGTACTATAGTGCACTTTAACATTGAAAATAGACCGGCCTCGCAGCCTAATTCTCTGGAACTGTTTTGGGCATGAAAATTTGCGTGCGGTCGGTCAAAAGAGACTTCCAGGAATTTCTTGCTCTGATCTGAGTGATTTTTGGATTTGTTGTTCACCCAGATCAGGGCTATCAGGGGATGTGACTTTTATGGGGATATGTGGTGTTTTGGTGTTTTCCAGACTTTGTAAAAATTTATGTTTTTTCTGCTTATAGTTAATTGAGTTAGTACATTGTCTTTGTTAATTGTATCTCAGGCAGAGGGGAGCGATTGTGTAAGCTATATGGGAGTGTCTGAATGTAAACCTGTTTTTATTGGCTTGTATTCGGTGCCCAACCAGGTCCACCTGGACGTCACCTTTACTGTATAACTTGTATAAAAGGCCAGTGTGTGCCATTAAACTTTCTGTTCCTGTTTGACCCTCAAAACGTAGTCTTGTCTCGTGATTGGAGGGGAACTGCTATAATCACACTGGGGATTGCTATACTTTGTATACTCCGCTGGGCTCTAATCACTTAGCTCTTTTAAGAGCTGTTCCTGTTATGCTCTCCTGGAGGAGAGGTCTCTCCCACACGGTCCTGGATGTCAGAGGTTGATCCAAGGTGGAAGGAAGACGGCAAGATTCCAGTTAAGCTACGGCGGTTTTGGAGTCTGCGGTGGTTGTGGTGTCCGGTGCGGTGCTTATGGTGCTCTGTGTCAGCTATGAAGCATCCGTTAATGGAGGTGCCCAGTCGGGGTGTCAGGTGATCCGTTACAAATATATCTCCGGTATAAGATAATATTTAAATTATCTACCCAGTCGGCCATGAACAGGATAGCGTAGTTTGGCACTACCTTCGTCCCCATGGCGATTCTTTTTTATTGTAAACATGAAAAAGGATCGTAAAACCAAAAATAGTTGTTCTTAGAATGATGTCCAGGCCATCAAAAATAAAACTAAGAGCCTGGGATGTGTGTCCAACTTTTTCTAAAAGCGCTTCCAAGGTCATGGGGTATAATAGTGTAGAGGGACTGGACATCACTGGTAACTAAAATGTACCTTGCTTTCCTTTCAAATGTATTTAAAATTTGTAGGAGAATCATACTATCTTTCAGGAAGGATCTCATATTGGAGACATGGGGTTGAAGGCGATTGTCTAGGTATTCAGAAAGGTTCGATAGAACGGAAATTATGCCCGATACTATAAAGCGGCCTGGAGGTTTTATTTCATTTTTGTGAATCTTGGGTAAGAAGTATATAACTGTATAGTAGGGTATGTTATGTTCGTGTACATGTACTCATTTCCTTTGATAATTTGTTGATCTAATCCCTTCTTCAAAAATGTGTCTAAAATATTTGTAATTTTGGACGTGGGGTTTAATGAAAGTTTTTAATATACAGAGGTATCATTCAACTGAGAGAAAGAAGAAAAGACAAACTATCCTCCTTCAGAGATGGGCAGGAGTATAAACGAAATTCTGTCCTGATACAGAGTAAAATAGAAAAGGTAGAAATGGTTACAAAACACATAAAAATAAAGAAATACATCAGGGATAAGCAAGATTATATGAAAAAACAAGTACAGACATACCACAACAAAAGAGAACTTTCTCCCCACTCCCCAATCAGAGGCCAATTAGAAATTATCCAAGATATCAGCACAACCAATATTCTACATACATAATTTAAAAAAAGAAAGGATATCACCTACAAGGAACACTAGATTCCATTCCTACAAAGACTCTAGGCTATCACAAATCAAGAGAAATAGATTCTACACTCTTTCGTCTGACTATACTGACACTGAGGACCATTTTTTTGGAAATAGGAGCTACACAGCACACGTCACACCTCCCCATAAGGGAAAAAAGAGGAAGAAGAAGCATTATACCTGGGGACGAAGAAGTGGGAGAAGGGTACAAGAAAGGAAAAAGATAAATCATAAATACTACCAACTAAACAATAAATCAAGGGTCATGCATCTTCAATCTATCTAATAGAGTAATGCTGTAGAAATTGCAATTCTGAGCAAAGGCCTAAACTATGCCCCTACGTGCAAATTCGACCAATTCTCAGCGTTTATTGATATCAATAAATTTGTAAGAAAAGCCACTCTAAAAGATTTTATATGAGTCAAAATAATGATGGCACAACCCACCATGCTAAATATCCCTCAAATATAGGAGACAGTACATAAACCAAATTAAAACCCACTTCTTCTACCTTTTACCCATCTAATTTTAAGTCCAGTAGCTTGGATATGTTTTATTTTGGATCGCCTGGACCTCATTCTAAGAAACAACTATTTTTGGTTTTACGATTCCTTATTCTTACAACAAAAAAGGACCTCCATGGGGACGAAGGTAGCGCCAAGCTACGCTAACCTGTTCATGGCCGACTGGGTAGATAATTTTATCTGGTCCAACTCTCACTGGAAGTCAAATATTATCCTATACCGGAGATATATTGATGACCTGTTTTTTACTTGAGAGGGCACAAACGATGATCATAACAATGTTTTAAGTTTCTTAACCCCATAATGACTGCAGACTTAGAGGGTACGTCAGACAAAAAACTGGACATACCCCATATTGAATACCTTGGGTTGTCTACTTTACAAAAATATATGGTTTGAAGGGGGTAAATTACTTTGTTTTGAATATGTTTATTGTATGCACAACAGAAATTCATGCATCAAACTGATTTGTAGTAGAGCAAGTGATCGCCCACGCAGGGGCTTAAGCATTGGTTGAGCACAGTATAAACATTTGGTTGCCTGAGTAGAGGCGGATTAATCTACAAAACTACGGGTACAAATTATGCATCACATGCGACTGAATATCAACACAGGCTAATGTTCTCTCAAGACATATCAATCCTTTTATATTGCTCGGTCTGAGGTATGCCGGTTCTAACGATGCATTGCTAATAAAAGGGTATACACACTACCTCATGATTTAACATGCTGTACTCCGTATAGTTAACATGAGAACTTTAACTCTTTTGTGGCCAAAGCGGTGCATTTGTCTGGCATTGTGTAGCCTTAGTAAGTCATTGCTTATCAGCATTATGACAATGTTTCATTATCTGCACAATAGGCATGCTATGGAGTAGATATACAAACATCAAAGAATAACAACTTTCAAACTTTAAACATAAGGTGTATATTTGTTTTTACGTTGCTGTGCCGCGCCATATAATGGAGCTATCAGGTTGTCATGTACGCAGTAATAAGCAACGTTACTACAGTTTAATGCACCTTCATGTATGCAGTCAGGAGGGCATAATGGTAATTGCTGCCCAGCATTCAAGAAGTGAAAACCGTTGGGTAGCATGTTTTTGCATCAGCTACGGCGCTGACATGCGGGTATCCTTTATATAATGTGGCCATCTGGTTATGAAGCCCTTTTGACTTTGGTGAATTAGGCCTATAATAAGACATTTTGATACATCTATTTTAGTATATCATGGTATTATATGGCCAACTAAAAATGCATTTATCAACATGTCTGTTTTAAGCAAGAAGCCATATCATCATCTACTATATGCCTACAGGTTGGCTACTAGCTATGTGCCAAGTTAATTTAGTTAAAGGCTGATAATCAGAACCTGCAATAATATTATCGCCATATGTTAATATATGGGTAGGTAGGGTACAAGCATAACAACCGTAGTTGGGGTCTCTACAATGGTCCGATCTGGGCCAGTCATGGCACAGCAGCAACGTGACCCCAGTGCGCCGGGTTTCCTTCTGTCCTCCCCAGTCCGGTCACTGTCCACCCAGGGCTTTCCATGGCTCCGTGGGCACTCAGGGCCAGAGAACGTCCACGGGACCCCCACACCTAGGGTCTGAGCACCCCCTGTCCCCTGCACCTCCCCAGCACCTCTCAAACTTCTGCGAAGCATACGCCCCCGTCTCTCCTGGTGCCGGCCTCACACTTGGGGACGACGCGCATCCCTCACGGCCACCGGTCCGCTGGAAGGCCCGCATCCTCTTCATCCACAGGACTCTCAGCACCAGGGACTCGGATCCCCGAGGACCCCCACAGACTCGGCAAGTCCGGGCCGTAACTCCTTTGGCGGGCAGGTAGTCGAGGAATTCATCTAGTTGCCGGCGACCTTTGCGGCCACATGTGCCGTACCCACCGGCGTCTCCGAAGCAGTTTATAGTCCCCTTCACGTCCTCTTTCTGCGTAATGAGCTTGTATGAAAAAATGGTCCTCACGACTCTTTTACTGGCGGGCTCCTTTTTGGCTGCCCTTGCCAGTGCAGGAGGGCAGTCTGGGCCCAGCCCGGGGGACTCCCGGCTCAGCGCGTGTCGCCTCCATGAGGCCGGATTATCCCGCCGGGGGGGGTGGGCGGGGGAGCGGGGCCGCCTCCGAGCCAACAGCGCCCGTTGCCTGGGTTATGTGCTTTTATTTTCCTTTAAAATGTCTGTGTCCAGGCGTGGAGGAACGGCATGTGTTCTGACCGGCTCAGGGACACTCGAGTCTAGTTTTGCGGCCGAGGGTAGGCCTTGAAAGTCCTTTACGGTGCTCACAGCCTTCTTTTAGGGTCCAATTGACATCTTTGTAAAGCTGGTATTATCCTTCCCTGTATTCCAGCGGGTGACCTGGTTTTTGTGCCCTGTTAGTCTGCTGCCATGCGGCTCGGCAGCCCGGCCCCGCACCCCGTAAATTACTTTGTACAGCTTCAGAATTGTCAGAAATAGGACATGGGTGCATGATGACCAGCTGTGAAAATTCCAAGTTGGAAAACTGGAATGCGCACCCTCCAAAAAATGTCTTTTAGCCCCCAGAGTACCCGACACACCTATAGATGGGTGGTATCACTGTACTCGGGAGATGTTGCTGAACACATTTTGGGGTTTTCTTTGGTAGTAACCCTTAACGTTCTCAGTACATGTATTCTTAAATTGCTATGTGTGTAAAAAAAATCAACAATTATTTTATTTTTTTATAATTTGGCATAGATTGGTGGTAAAATACCTCAAATTTAATACCTTAGGTTGTCTTCTTTTAAAAAATATATACAGGTGAAGGGTTAGTCAGGGATTTCTAAGAGAAATCAGTGTTACAATGTAACTTTTGTTAATTTTGAAAAAAAAAATAAAATGGTTTGAAAATAGCAAAGTGACTTGCACTTATAGCCCTATAACTTGCAAAAAAAAAAAGAAAGCTAAGAACATGTTAACATTGGGTATTTCTAAACTCAGAACAAATTTAGAAACTATTTAGCACGGGTGTTTTTGAGGGTCAAAGTTAGAAAAGTGTGTTTTTTAAATAAATGTCATTATATTTTATTATTTTCTTTATAGTAAATTATATGATATGATGAAATAATGGTATCTTTAGAAAGACCATTTAATGGCTAGAAAAACAGTATATAATATGTGTGGGTACAGTAAATGAGTAAGAGGAAAATTACAGCTAAACACAAACACTGCAGAAATGTAAAAACCGACCTGGTCCGGACAGAAAATTGAAAAGCGGTCTGGTCACTAAGGGGTTAAACAACAACGACAGGGGTATCAAACTAAACACTGATATCAGAACTAGTAAAATACAATTTTCAGATTCAGAAATCTATATAGAAAATAACCAGTTGCTCACTAAAACCTTTTTTAAAAAAGAACATACAAACACATTTATAGATTTTAGTAGTTGCTCAAAATCATTCCAGAAAGCCAATTCACCAGACTAAAACGGAATTGCAAAGGTGATGATGTTTTTAAAAAACAAGCTTATGGTTTAAGAGATAGATTGAAAGAAAAAAATTACAACAGCACATTAACACTTTAATTGCACAAATAGATCAAGTCGATAGAAACTAACTACTACAATATTACACCTCTAACAAAGACTGCACTGCACCCATCGTCCTAGATTTCAGTAATAAAAGCTTTAAAATGAAAACAATAATAAAGAAACATTGGGACATCCTAAAAGAGGACAAAATTCTAAAAAAAGATTTTACCTGAAAAACCCAAATTTGTTTTCAGAGGGGCTTCGAACCTAAAAATGTGTCTCACTAAAAAGACCAGCGAGAGAGCCCTCTATCCCTTTTTATTTGTTTACCATATACTGAGGACATTCGATTGCTGTAAGGTTGCACTTTGAAGAAGGAACACCTTTACTATTGCTGAAGACGCCTTACTCACGAACAGAGATCTCCAACACATCCAAAGAAGGTGATTGTACCGTCCAGGCGCACATATCTGGAGCTGAGATTTAGCGCCAGAAAATTGTAAGTGCATTTTGTTTCATTTTCAGCTATTCAGAATATACTATGCTATATTACATCCTTTTTTCCTTTATTACCCATATTGCTTCGAATTTGAGAACTACTATCTCCAAGCGCTGCTTCCCTGCATTTCCTTTTTCTCATGTACAGGCCCGTCTGAAGTTTGCCAGTGATCATCTGAATGATTCAGAGGAGAACTGGGTGAAAGTGTTGTGGTCAGATGAGACCAAAATCGAGCTCTTTGGCATCAACTCACCTTCCATTAAAATTATAGACTGATCATTTCTTTGTCAGTGGGCAAACGTTCAAAATCAGCAGGGGATCAAAAAAGTTTTTCCCTCACCGTCCATACAGTATACACACACATCGCATCCCTTACACACACACACACAGACACAAACACTGCATCCCTTACACACACTATTCACTATACATAGACTGCATCCTGTATGCACACACTGCACCTCCAACATACATACACTACATTCACTAAATATACACACTACATCCCCTTAACACATACACTACATTCCGTAAACAAACACCACTGCCCCTATACAAACACACTGGCTACATTCTCCTATAAGCCACATCTCCTAATACACATAAGTTGATGTTTACTGTAATTATGGTACAGGCAGCATTATTGTATTTTATTTCTCCTAATTTGCTAGTTAAAATATGTGGGTGCGTCTTATATTCCGAAAAAATACAGTATGTACAACGAGCCAACAGTATAACATTGTTACAGATCCGTTAAGATCATAGAGCTTTGAAAAGTTACCTAAAGTATCATGTTCTGAATCCTCTAGTGTCTAGGATGTAGGCTAATCTATAAATAATGAGGAAGCAAATCCTAAAAAAAAGTAGAAAAAAAAAATTTGAAGTGTGAGTTGCATGTAAAAAAAGAACAAAAGATAGAAAACTATGTTTGGGAGGCTAAAAACCAGCAGTATCAGGTCTGTGTCGCTCCTCTGCTTCTGGGATGAAAAAGAAGATATTCTGCTGGGCTCCCTGCCCTTTAATATTTTAGCATCTCAGTTCAGCTGCGCACTGCTTTAAAAACAAGAACCAATGTAGGTTAAATTAATCTCATAAATTAAAGTTCACCTGCCATAAAAAAAAAAAAAATACATGGTGGTATTTTATAGTCAATAAAACGGAACCTATTCATTATTAAAAATGATAAAAAAATGATTGCGATTATTTATGTCTTTCTTTTTTTCAGTTAAAAGTTATACTTTAGACACATTGGTAATAAAACTTTTTCAAAGTCAGGAAGCCATTCGGCTTGTACGCCCTTCTACTTGCATCAGCTCTTAAAGCGGCACTGTCATATCATTCAATTTTTGTTTGCACTTGGACTTCAGTGTGTGAGCACGTGTTGTTCCCCCTCTTTCCCACCCTCCCCAGTCATGTGGGTTGTGTTGGAATTTCCCTAAAAATTTCAACCCAGTCAAGAGACATACTGCTACAAAGTAGAGACTACTTTGTCTCTGTATATTTCCTATGTCTGACACTTCTAGACACTGGGTGGATTTACCACCGTCTAGAAGTGTCTAGCCCCCCAGCCGTTACCAGTGATTGGCATGCATGAGTACAACAGTGACATTGACGCGCCAGGATCTGAAGAGGACCTGCCAGAGGAAGTTGGCCGCACCTGCGAGGGTCAGGTTCACGTAATTAGAACTGACCTTAACCTGTCCCCCTCACCTTACCATCCACCAGAACTCTGCCTTATGTCAGTTCTATGAATAAAAATGTCTGTTATCGGAGCGCACTGCACACTACCGACAGATGTGAAAATCTTACCCTTGCAGGCAGAGCACCTACGAAGGAAAGCTAGCTCTCCCCTCCTTCCACTCACCCTGTGGGCAGTCCCTCCATTTCTTTCTCTTTTTTTTAAATGATCAAAATTCTTACTCTTCCTCCAACCCCTTTTCCTCGTTGGCTCAGATTGCGCACATGTGCTCTAGGCCGGTGAAACAGGTCAATCATAGGCTTCTCTATGAGAAGTTTGTGATTGGAGAGCCTGAGCCGCATGTGATGTCAGTAGGAGGCGCAGAAGATCAGTGCCAAGAGCCCAACTCAGGATTAAGGTAAGTAAAACTAACAGACTGATTTTCTTCTCTAGTCGGTCCTCTTTTACACCTCACCCCTCTGTCAGTCCTTACATTGGCTTCCTGTATCCTATAGGAGCCAACTCAAAGTACTAACCCATACCTATAAAGCACTGAACAATTCTAGCCCCTCTTGTATTTCTTCACGGATCCATAGGTATGCCCTGTCATGGTCTCTCAGCTCTGCCCATGACCTTCTCCTGTCCGCTGCTCACACTGGTACGGCCAACTCATGCTTGCAGGACTTCTCGCGGGTGGCTCCCTTCCTATGGAATAGCCTGTCTACCGTCATCAGACTCTTCCCTAGTCTTCAATCATTTAAAAAGTGCCTTAAAACCCATCTCTTTAGGAAAGCTTATGGCCTCCCAGAGTAACCTCTACCTCACATACTGGTCTCTTGCTCTCTCCTAAAGAGTAGCACTTCACTTCCACCTTATTTGATTGCTATTTCCTGTCCTATTGTGTTTTATACCCCACCTCCTATAGACTGTAAGCTCGTTTGAGCAGGATCCTTTTCAACCTATCCTTCCTGTGAGTTTTCTTGTAATTGTCCTATTTATAGTTACATCCCCCCTCTCATAATATTGTAAAGTGCTATGGAATCTGTTGGCGCTATATAAATGGCAATAATAGGGCATATTCAATAAATGATACACATTCATCGATATCATTGGCATCTTCTTGCATGATGTGCATTGCATCTCATGTTCATTCAGATAACACACAATATACTTACTGTTGAGTGCGCTCAATATCCTCATTAGTCCTGTTAATTTTGTAAGCTGTGTTATAGAATTGAGCATTGCAATTGTCAAAACAGTTTTAATAATTTTGGCACTGGTACTTTTACAATAAAACAATTATTTGTGCAACAACGTGTTCTCCAACTCTGTACAATATGACTCATCTTTTCGATTGTCATTTGCCTGTAAGTTCAAACAAATCTCACATCACATCTCTTTCAGTATGTACTTTATTTAAAATAATTTTCATAATCTCTATTCAGTTTCCATTTTCATAAAGCTCCGATGCAAATATATATCAACATCAACCTTGCAAGTTCAACGTGTTCCGTCGCTTTTAATGCAATGCTTGACAGCTGAGATTGCTAAATTGTGTTGAAGAAAATAAGTAACAAAATCTTACAGAAAAATATAATGCCTTCAACTTTTTGTCCCAGAAGCTGTAGTTTACTATATATTTATATATATATATATATTCCTTATTTATTGCCTGAAGAAGTAGCCGAGAAAGGAATTGATTTTGCCTTTAGCAGAATGTTGTACCATAATGTACACCAACCTGGCATTTGACAATATAACATCCAAATTAATATTTCACTATCTTCTTTCGGGTTTCATGAGTTAAGAGTAGTTCACGATCTAAGCTTGAAAACATTTGCTGAATATACACAGAGCTGGTATTGTATGTGACGTAACATGTACACACTTTGCAGTCAACTTGAGGATTTGTACACATGGTTAATAGAGCCGATTTGTAGTTATATGAAACAGGAGAACTGCAATAGGAATAAGCAACTCCCAAATGGTTTGATCGAAAAACAGGAGTAGTGCTCTCTTGGCAGCAAGCTGTAGTGGTATTGTTGCTTAAAGTGCCCCTTTAAGCAGACCTATAAAAGCTTGCATAACCAGCCATTTTGGCAGGGTGTTTTGTTTGAAATTAGTCTTTAGCTCCTGCATGTAAAGGAGACTGACTTTCTATTGCTTGGACTGCTCCCTGAGAATACCAGACTTCCTTATATAATGTGAACCTAGGAGCCTAGGACAATGATAAAGAGCAGTGGAATTAAATTGTACATTTGTAGGGACAGCTTCTTCGCAACGTGAACAATACAATAAGCTGTTATGGGTATGATTCTTGGAGAGCCACTTTAAAATAATATAAGGGAAAAGAAAAACATTAAAAGGAAACTCTAACGCTGCAACTTGCATCGATTCCCCTGGTGCCATCCCTCTTTTAAAACAATAAAAAGAAAAATCAAATTGTGACAGTTTTCCTTGTTTAATTTGGAATTATCAATGTGGATAACATAGGGGCAGTGGCGTACACACAATACATGGGGCCCCGGTGCGAAACTGATCCGTGGGCTCCCTCCCCTGATCCGTGCCCCCTCATCCCCCCTGACACATACATACAGACACACACACATACACACAGACACACACACATACACCCCTCGACAGACACACATACAGACACACACGCATACAGAGACACAGACACACTCACACATAGACACAGACACACACACACATACACCCCTCGACAGACACACATACAGACACACACGCATACAGAGACACAGACACACACACACACATAGACACAGACACACATACATACAGAGACACACACACATACATACGGGGCCTCATGGATTGTGTGTATGCCACTGCATACATAGATACACACACATACAGAGACATACAGACACACATACAGAGACACAGACACACACATACAGAGACACAGACACACAGTGACACACCTGCACAGGGACCCCTGCGACCGCGGTATGTACGCTGCTGCATAGGGGAGGTACCTTGTGCTTGAGAGATTATGACCGTTTAGTCGGTACGCAAACATACTTCCCAATTTACAATATAACTCCTTATATTATATACAGTATAAATACATTACAATAGCTGTGTTAAATGTACTGTATAAATTGGCAGATTATTTGGGGGGTCAACTTATCCGGTCAATATAGGGCTAAACCCGTATGACACCTCTAAGTTTTAGGAGTCAACTTATACGCCTGATTGACACATACTCCAGTAACCCAAGATTTGCTTCTGGTTCCACAGCACTGGGGAAGACCCTTGGTTGATATCAGAACCCTTTTAAGTGGTTGATATTAAACCACGGGACGGCTGCTGGGGACTCTAAACAGTCTCACCAACTCCAATGAACTGTCGCATTTGAGTTGTGTTGAGTGCCACGTTTAAGAGGTCTCTTCCTTTTGTCATAGCATGAGGTATATCCTGGAGTGATCATTGCATTCATTATGACTGATATCAAACATCTCCTACAGTGGGACACTTTTCAAAATGTGCAAAATACAATCTTCCACCTAAACACCCGCGCTAGGTGAAAATACAAGAAATAATAACTTTACTTGGATATACACCTTCCCTAAGATTGTTTTAGGGACCAGGAACCAGACAGAGACAGAACTAGATGCAAAAACACCTTTATTAATAAATAACAAATAAAGAAATAACCAAAAGCAAAGTCCAGGAGGCAAGCAGGGGTCAGTCACCAGAGCGGGTAGTCAGACGAGCCAGGATCAGGAGAGCAGCGAAGTCAGGAACAAGGCCAGAGTCAGGAATCAGGAACCAGGAACAAACAGGAACAAACAGGAACTCACAGGAACTCACAGGAACTCACAGGAACAAGGAGACTTCTGGAGAACAGGAAACCACTCAAGGGCAAGGAGGTACTGGGATTCGCTGCTTAAATAGGCTGCACTGATTAGCAACAGGGCTGATTACTACTATCAGGTGAGTAAATGTGGCAACATACTGAAGGAGCTGATCATTAATCTCAGCTGAAAACTCAGACACTGAAAAAGGAAGGGTTGCTGTTTAAAACAGCAAAGAAACCCTGACAGATTGCATCCCAGTCCACAATCAACCACAGTCACATAGCATAAGTAACAAAGAAAGAGAAGAGGTGGCACTAGAATCCAATATAAAAATGAGAATAAAACCCAGTGCAGCTATAAAATCACCCAAGTGCTTTGTTACTAAAACCACTTAATACGTATGTAAAAATGTGAATAAGGTGATCGTGCAAACAATGGTATGTAGTGTTCTAGATATGAATAGTAGATAATTCCTATGTACTGACAAAACCTTCATCTCAACTTTAGATTTCTGGTGAAAATGCCAGCATAGTTTAGAGCCGACTTATATGAGTAATTTTATTAATGTTTTGACAATATACATATTGCCCTATGATTTTTTTTTTATCTTCACAGTGCATAGGAATAGTGACAGAACGCCGTCACTGAGTACCATGCCCACATGTGCCCACTCCCTTGGTTGCTTATTGTTTTCAGGTCAGGGCTATTTAACAATGTATTGTTTGTGGGGTCCCCTTGTTCGTTCATGTGTAGGCGTGATTGGAAGATTGTGCTTGTCCCATTCTGGATATGATAAAGATGAGGCTTGAGTATTATTCTGTGGGTAGATATTAATGTCACTTTTGGACATGATATCGAAACACAAGGCTTTCTTTTTGTTCTTGAAAGCTAATGATCATTACCATATCCAAGGACTTCCTATCTAAGAGGCAATCAAGACATATGGCAGATGTGAGAGTTGGTTTGTACATAAACCCAGACTTCCAGGCCACTTATGTGTGACTTCTCACACCTTCCAGAATAGCCATGTTGGGGTCCCAGCTTCAAGTAAGAATTTAGATTGTAAACCTTCTGCCCTTCAATGCAATCATCTAACCCCTTTTGAAATATTAAGGTGTGTTTGTAGGGTGTTTGGAACTATTGTAGATTTTTCTGTACCTGAGGGATAATTAAAGGACCACTATAGGCACCCAGACCACTTCAGCTCAATGAAGTGGTCTGGGTGCCAGGTCCCTCTAGTTGTAACCCTACAGCTGAAAACATAGCAGTTTCAGAGAAACTGCTATGTTTCACTGAGGGTTAATCCAGCCTCTAGTGGCTGTCTCACTGACAGCTGCTAGAGGCGCTTCCGCGATTCTCACTGTGAAAATCACAGTGAGAAGACTTGGACGTCCATAGGAAAGCATTGAGTAATGCTTTCATATGGGCTGTTTGAATGTGCGTGATGCTCTTGCTGCGCATGCGCATTCGGATCTGATGTCATCATGGGGTGGAGAGTTCCCCAACACAGAGGGAGCCTGGCGCTGGAGAAAGATAAGTGGCTGTCGGGGTTTTAACCCCTTCAGCCCAGCGGGAGGGTGGCCCTGAGGGTGGGAGGGATCTAATGACCCTATAGTGCCAGGAAAACAAGTTGTTTTTTTTCCTGGCACTATAGTGCTCCTTTAAATTTAAGAGGTTTCCTCGTGCAATTATCCTTTAGGCACAGAGGATCCTGGGATTGAAAACCCTGTTGTCTTGTATTGTAAACCCCATGTAGGGGACTGGGCATAAAAGCCGTGGGTTTTCCAATAAAGTTCAATTCACTCCCAGAGCTATGTTTCGTCTGGTTACTGGGGGCATGTATGCCTGTATGCTTTAATGGTTCCAGAGTGGCTGAAGGAAGGAATTAGCGGAGGTAACCAGTCGGGTTACCCGTGGTCCGCTACAGGAATTATCTACTATTTATATCCAGAACACTACATACCATTTTGTGTGCGATCACCTTATTCACATGTATACATATAGAATACTAGTACAAACAAATTGGGATTCTGCTGGTATCTCTAAAACATACAAATGAAACAAAACACAGGTCAATAATGCAGGACTTGACAAATCCTAGGCGCCAGGTCCCCATGGCAACCAGGAAATTTGTCCTGGCACCTGGGATTTGTGAGCCTATTTAGCCCCCGAGGTGACCGGCGGCCTGAGAGCTGGGGCCTGCAGTCAGATCACTGAGGGCTGAGGCAGGCTGTGACTGAGCTAGGTGGCTGGCCGGCTCATTGAGACAAAAGGGAGGGAGACCGGCTCATGGAAAGCTGTGAGAGGGAAGTGGTTGGCTGACAGAGAGAGTGGGGCGGCTGGCTCATTTAATGCTGAGGGAGGGGGGCGGCCAGCCAACGAAGAATTGAGGGACGCAGGCGGATAGATGACTTAATGCAGCAGCGAGGGAGCTGTAATCTTCCTGCTCTGCTCCCTCGCGCGGCTTGTAGTGATGCTGGGATCCGGGATATGACATCACTCCTGCCCCAGGCTACTAAACAGCGCGCGAGAGGGAGCTGAGTAGAGAGATGACCACAACCTCATGGGACCCCAGGGAAAGCCTATCCTCTCAAGTTCTCCATGAAGTAAGGAGCCTTGGTGAATATAAGTAAAGTAATTACTTGTGAGTGAGTGTGTCTGTGAGTGTGTTTGTGTGTGTCTGTATGTCAGTGAGTGTGTGTGTTTCTGTATGTCTGTGAGTGTGTGTGTCTGTATGTCTGTGAGTGTTTTTACTCACTTTTTTCCCACGCCGTGCTGATGACGCAGAGGCTGGCCCCACCTCCATGGCTGAGATTATCAATCTTGACGATCTCAGCCAATCCATTGCTTCCCCATAGAAAAGCATTGGAAGACTATTGCGCATGCACGACAAAATGCCACTGCACCAATTTAACTTCTCATAGAAGTGCATTAACGTAGGTGCAGCACATTGTGAAGCACTGACCAAAGGAGCACCTTTAGAGGCCATGCGAGTGTCTCTCGCTAGAGGTGTTACCAGGCATCAATGTAAACACTGCCTTTTGTGTGAAAAGTCAGTGTTTACATTGAAAAGTGTTCAGGGAAAGGATATAGACTGCAGAACAACTGCATTAAGCTGTAAAGGTTCTGGTGACTATAGTGTCCCTTTAAGAATTGTATTTTTAGCGTTGATTTCTCTGGCTTCTAACTTTTCTAGCTGGCTCCAAGATTCCAAGCAAATTTGTCAAGCCCTGCAATAATGCATATATAATTAAGCAACAGAACACTATTTGGTCGCACTCCCAGATTAAATGTGATAATGAAGCATTGAAATGCCTCCTTGGAGTTAATAAGGGGTTTTGCTCCCTCTTGAGGACCAATATGGAAACCTGTTTGTTAAAGAATCCAAAGTTTGGTTTAAAGTTACAAGACGTGCTTTATTGCCATAATAAGAATATAAAAAAACAAATAAAAATATATAATAACAAATGCTGAAATAGGTCCTACACGTTTTGTTCTCAAATGAGAACTTCTTCAGGGATCAGTGAATACAATTTCAATAAAATACAGTGCAAATGCCAAAACACAGCCACACAGTGGGACACTTTTTATAAGTAATTCTGGAAGTAAAAGTAGAGCAGACAGCAAGAATATTCTATTTTTTTCTTTGATTGCTCCGCATGTAGCACCATGCCCCAGTATTCTTCTTCATAAATTGAAGCCCCTATAACACCGGGGGTTATGTATGAGAGTGTTTCAGTAAAACAAATGGTGCAATTGTGCCACAATTAGTATTTGCATTTATGTAAAAAAAAAAAAAAAAAAATGTTCTGCCGAAATACACATCTGTAGAAAAAAAGAAAAGTGATCTAATTAATACTTTGTTCTTGTGGCAGTTAATGCATTAAAAAGGTGCAAATTTGCATTATTTTTTTTTTATTGAACTGCAGTTCACCATCCTTAAACTTGTGTTATCTGCTCTGTGAGAAGAGCCACAAATTGTGGCAAAAGTTGCAAATTTGAGAAACAAATCTTGCATATGAGGTTTGGTTTTAAAAAAACTTTCATTAAAATTTCATCGCAGTCAAAGGATCTAAGACAAAGTAAGGAATACTTAGTCTTATGTATTTTTTTTTTTCTCCGCTTGACAAAACTTGACAAACGACGGAGCTACTGGCAAAAAGTTTTTTCAACCCCCCAGCCATCGCAAGGATCCTCCATAAAGTAAGTTTGCTGCACCCCTATGACACTGCACACAAGTGGCGATGTCACAATTGGAGTCTTTGCAAAATATGCAAAAATTAAAAAAAAAATAATACAGATTAAATGCTTTATTCGCTGTAGCGAAAGGCATCTGTTTTAAATTATAAATAGCATTTATATAGAGAAACTGATTATTTGTAGAAGGCCCTGCTCAAACTAGTTTGCAATCTGTGAGGATTAGGGGGAATATATGATTGGGTGTCTTTCCCAGTGATGCTTACTGGTGAGTTGGTCTGATTAGGATTTTAACCCCTTAAGGACCAAACTTCTGGAATAAAAGGGAATCATGACATGTCACACGTCATGTGTCCTTAAGGGGTTAACCTGGGTTTCCTGGATCTAACCAGCTAATATTACAGAGAGGACTGTTTTTTTTAATTGATCAAAATAGGACCAAGTGGCACAGAATTCCAGGAGCAACTCCAGAATTCTATAGACATTCTACAGACACATGAACAGCCAGGGAAAGCAAAGACTCGGTACAAATATATCAGAGGAGCAACAGACCCAACTATATGGCAGCTCATTACTATGTGCCATTTTCATTGATAAAATGTGAGAATCAATTTGTTAATTAATGCTGCTCTTTTTATTCAACTCCATCAATTAATTTGCACCTCCTCCCCCCCTTTTTTGTGCATGTTAAGGATGCATCGAATTTTTTTTTTTTTGGTTTCATAAACAGTAGTGAAAACATAAGAAGAATGTAACAGAGAGACTGTGCAGTTAAATATATATTTTTTTTTAATTAGCATTTTCAAATGTTTCTTAGCGCAGTTCCCTACTGTTATACAAATTATATCTTTAGCCTTGCTGTGAGTCTGAATGATGCTGAATAATTTGTAGTGAAAGACAGCTATTACTATTCTCTGTAAGTCTTACTGCAACAATAGTTACATAGTGATTCATCACTGAAACAAGATAAAAAAATAAAATAATAAAGTCTACTTCTTCTCTAGAAGCGGCCGAGCCTTGCATTGTTGTAACCTCAGCTTTTTTTTTTATTATTATTATTATTATTATTCTGTTTTTCATGTATCTCATTTTTTTCACAGTCATTTTTTTTTTCTTTTAATTTTTTTTTTTTAAAGTGCTAGGTTTTTTCACGGGCTGGGGCTGGTCCGTTATTAGCGTGTGCAAGTTAATGCAGCACTGCCTTCAAATTGTTGATGCCTGATTCTAGTCTGTGAAGCCACAGAGACAAAACATTTAATTTTCTTCATTGATTTTCTGAATAATAACAGCGTACACTAAACATGAGCCTCTGTCAGTCAGAGTTCTGTTGTATCATCGCTGAAAACCACAGAAGACCACAAAAGGAAATATACCTGTGTTGCTGGGTGTTGAAGAAATTCTGAATGGTTTTAAGATGTGTGGACCTTACGAGTTTTGAACGCAGAGCCATCTTGCATTGAGTGGTCCAATGCAGAGTACCTCCAGAACAAACACAAACAGGGTTATTCCGTTACTTGAGAATGGACAGGAATTTGAAGTGAATTTCAAATTTAAAGTTAAAAAAGGCAAACTGAAAACATAATTTTTCTAATTTGACTGTATTGGCCAACAATATCCACTTTAGTGCAAGGATAGACAACCTTCAGATGATGTGGACTACACCTCCCAAAATACTCTTACAGCCATCTTACTACCATAATGCGGGAAAAGCATCAGGGGACTGGTAGTCCACAACATCTAGAATGTCGAAGGTTGCCGACTCGTGGTTTAGTGAATAACCTTTGAAGTGTTTTTTTGCAGTTGGCCAGGCTGAATCAGGCTTCAATATAGTACCCACCATACGGTTCTGGTGAGCTAGTTGGAATTCTGTAAGATTCTCTGGGATACCTGTCAGGTTTTTTCATGTTGGAATAATTGACTTCACAATCCAATTTAGTCCAGGCACAGTCAAGGCATGCATTGCTTCAGAGGAGGCAAAGAAGAAACATTGTTTATATTTCTAATAACTTTCTTGCCTGGTATCCATCAGGCGTTGCATCCCGAGCTTACGGTTCTGAACTTTGCCCATTGGTGTTGGGCTTAGATAATTGATAGAAAGGGATGAGCTGATACTCTCAGGTAATGAGCTGGCTGTGTCCTGCACGACTTAGCTTAGGAGCACTAATGGAAGCTCCTATGTGGTGGTTATGGTGCTTGGAGTGTTCCTTTGAAACAGTGTTTGACTGGAGCCAGAATGTAGGCACTCGGTTCTGGGGCAGGGGTAAACACGCTGAGGATTTCCAATTTTTATTTTTTTTTATTTTTTATTTTTAGACCTCACTAACACATAAGTGTTAAAGATAATAGATAAATAAAATAACCTTAAAAATTCTTTAAGATAGTATATCTCTTTTATAACTTACCATATTTACGGAACTGCAAAATATATAGATGTCAAAACACCCTCCTTATGGCTTTCTATAAATTGTACTAACAGCTGGATAGCTGGTGATTGCTGATTGAAAGCCATCGGTCTACAAGTGAAAATGCATTGCTGACAGATGTCAGCATCGACACTGGCACCTGGGTTTTGGTGTTACTTATGTTCTCTCTATACGGTGTTATTTACGGTGTTATTTAGGTATTTATACAGGAAGATACTATATATATTTATTTTATATTTATCGCTGTTAGTAAAGCACTAACAGGGTTATTGACTAAACTGAGAATTGATAGGAATTCAGAGGGAATTTCAAATTTACGGTCAAAATTGCTGAATTGGAAAAATTAATTGTCAGCTATGCGTCCTGTACCGATCATTCGATCTAAATTTTGAAAACCACATTCTCATGTTTTTCCAAATGCTTTGGTGAAGAGTTTGTTTATGATTTATAGTTAACAAAACATGTTTTTTTAGAACTGGGGTCAAAACTAAGTGTTTTTTTAAACCTTGTCTAAAGGTGTTTAGACCTTGTGTTGCACTCTGTGTCTTCCAGCACGTTATTGCTTGTAACTGCAGTTATTTGGAAAGCTGGAAGATAAACAATGCTTCCATTCTGCCCATGCTATTACACGTACAGCAAGGGTCTCAAAACAGAAATTAGTGGTCTCTAGTAGCTACGTTTTAATACTGCCAAGAGGACTGCAGATCCGACTCTTAGACGCCTGCACACAGACAGATCCATGTTCCCAGATGCAAACACACACAGATACGTATTCCTAGATACACATACATGTCCATACTGTTAGATACACAAAGTTCTGTACTTGCAGACACATACAAAGCTCCATATTCTCAGTCACACACAGATACACCCTGCCAAGTACACACAGATATAACTTGCCCGACATTCGCCCTACACTTACACACAACTGTACCTTTATTACGCACATTATGCTGCATTTACCCGATTTCTTGAGCATTATCACTGTACCTGCAGCATTGTCATAACCCCATCCTTCACACATAATGTCCAGCAGCTGCATGCTACATCCTCAGTTTAGGGTGCTAACAGAAGAAATAACGCCTGACTGTGTTACATTGGAAAAACAAGCAGCATAATTACTGAATTGTCCAGTTAGATAGCAGACACATAGCACCCCATCTACTGGCCACAAGAAGGTAGTTAGGGGACTAGAAATGTACCTTGTGTCTGTGAGACCCTTGGTATGCATTATACACATGATTAGTACAAACCCCCACCTAATGTATTGGGCTCAAAAACAACTTACTGTGAAATAGTATGACCCACGGCCATCTAAATGCATCCAATTCACAAATCACAGAAAAAATAGGAGCTGCCTACAGCCTGAAATGTCATTTAAGGTGTCACTGACAACTCTGATCTCCTATCCAAAATTTGTATTTCACAAAGATAGAATCTTTGCAAAACCAAATCCAGAACTGCACTAAATCCAAATGATACATTTATTTATGTGTGTGTTTTTTGTATGTTTATTTATGTGTGTGTTTATTGTATGTTTATTTATGTATGTTCTATATATTGTACATTTATTTATGTGTGTGTTAGCTATAAAAAGTCCATTTAGGTCGAAACGTTTCTGACTGTTAGGTTTCATTAAACTTTGCCTCATCAATATCCTGGAGTGTCTGGATCTTTTTGCTTGTATCTAAATATATCATCTTTATGAAATACTTATTGACCATGTTTGAATTTTGCTGAAATGTTAACCCATTTAAAAAGTATAATACCTCAAAGTAGTCCCTACTATTTAGTTTTTTCTTACACTTGACATAAAGACCTTTGTCAGGCTCTGTCTGTTTAGGGATTCTTCTTAGACCTCAGTGTTGTACTCCCCCTCTTTTCCCTGCTCCCTCACCCACTGCACTACCAGGGGAGCAGTCCCCATCATGGTTCATTGCAAATTATGCAAAGATCCTAGACATTGAAAGAGCTGCTTTAATAAAAGAAGACCACAAGTATTCGATCAGCACTTGTACTGTTTTATTAAAGGTCGAACAAGTAATAGCAGATGTAAGGTAGTAAAAACACATCTTGCAGAGGAGACGTTCAGACTAATACAGAACAATCCATTACAACAATGTCTCCACTGGTGTAACCTTAACTTATTTTCCTCTTGTCATGCTTTTATTTTCCAGGCACAGTATCCGCTGGAGATGGCAAGTTTGTTATCGCAGAGAGAGGACGTCGCAGTGGTCGTAATTTACAAGATATGGGAATCTTTACCAGGCAAACAATGGCTCATGTGAAGGATCGTAAAACAGGTACTCCACCTGCACACTATAAAACATCTCAAAAGATACATTTATTCAATGCTGAATTATTGGTAGTTTGGGGCCAGGGTGATACCAATGTGTCTGATTTTAGTAAAGTTTAGAAAATATGTTATTATGTACTGTGATAATTTACTGTGGTAACAGCGAATAGCATTGCTAGAAACCGGTTATTTCCCCCACAAATATATGCATGCATATCTGAATATATCTCATTAAAGCAGATATTTTGGAATTGTATTAATAAGTATTACTCTCCCTAGATACATGACCGTGATATCTCCATTGGCTAGTTTAATCTCTTGCTGCTTAACCCCTTAAGGACTGGACTGTTTTTGCGATGTTGTACATTTGCGACCAGGCATATTTTTACACTTTTGTGGTGTTTGTGTTTGGCTGTAATTTTCCGCGCTCTCATTTACTGTTCCCATACAAATTATATATTGTTTTTTTCAGGACAAAAGGGGCTTTCTTTACATACCATTATTTATATAATCTCTTGTATTTTAATTTAACAAAAATAAAAAAAATGATGAAAAATTGAAAAAAAATCCCTGTTTTTTTACTTTTACTTGAAAAATCTTTTACTCATCTACAAAAGCAAATGAAAAAAACTGCTAAATAGATTCAAAATTTTGTCCTGAGTTTAAAAATACCCAGTGTTTACGGGCTTTTTTGCTTTTTTTTGCATGTTATAGGGCTATAGGTACAAGTAGGATATTGCGGTTTCAAAACATACATTTTTTAAATTTATCAATAGTGACATTGTAACACTATTATCTGTCATAAATCTCTGAATAACACCCCACATGTACATATTTTTTTTAAAGTAGACAACCCAGGGTATTCAATATGGGGTATGTCCAGTCTTTTTTAGTAGCCACTTAGTCGAAAACACTGGCCAAAGTAAGCATTCATATTTGTTTGTGTGTGAAAAAAGTAAAAAAACTAAATTGAACGCTAATTTTGGCCAGTGTTTGTGACCAAGTGGTTACTAAAAAAGACTGGACATACCCCATTTGCAATACCTTGGGTTGTCTTCTTTTGCAAATGGTATGCCATCATGGGGGTAATTCTCATTCCTGGGCTACCATACGCTCTCAAAGGCAACGTAACCAACCTGGCCATTTTCAATGTAAAAATATTTGACCCATATATTTGACCTGTAACTTTCAAAAATGCTATAAAACCTGTACATGGGGGGTACTGTTTTACTCGGGAGACATCGCTGAACACAAATATTAGTGTTTAAAAACTGGAAAACGTATCACAACAATTATATCATCAGTAAAAGTGCTGTTTGTGTGTGAAAAATGCAAAAAAAGTCACTTTCACTGACAATATCATCGCTGTGATATGTTTTACTGTTTTGAATCACTAATATTTGTGTTCAGCGAAGTCTCCCGAGTAAAACAGTACCCCCCATATACAGGTTTTAGGGTGTCGTAGAACGTTACAGGGTAAAATACAGTGCTAGCAAATTAAATTCTCTGGACTTTTGGCCTGGGTTGGCAGGCAGGTCCCTCAAATTGCAATCAATAAAATTACTTAATTATGTAAAATATTACATAAATACGCACGTAGAATTTAAATATATATGCATATTTATATATTTGAAGTCTACCTGTATATTTATATAATTATTTATGTAATTTTGTATATGGACGTATGTATATTTCTTATTATTTTTATTTATTTTTATATACATAGATATATATACAAATTCATTCTAAGTGTATTTTGATATAAATATATATATATATATATATATATATATTAATTTTAAAATACAGTTAGAATAAAATTTCATATAGATATATAATTTTTTTTCCAATTTTTATTATTTTTAAAAAAAAATAATTTAATTTAAATTACTTATTATTTATATTTTATAATAATATATATATATACAATATATATAGTTATTATATATATTATATATATATACGTGTGTCATTTAATTATAAGTGTATTTTTATATTAATATAAGTGCATATTAATATAAAAATACACTTAGTATGACATTATATATATGATATATAGACATATATTATATTGCTATAATATATGTCTATATATCATATATATATATATATATATATATATACACATATATAATTTTTTTAAATTTTTTTATTAACACTAACTTTATTTTTTTTAATGATTTTACACTAGCAGGGAGACTGCCTGTCAGCACAGACAGTCCCCCTGCAGACACATGGACACATGGACCCCTATTGTGACCATGGGATCGCTGTGTTAAGCGATCACATGGCCACAGGGGTCCTAATCCAGTGTGGGGAGACTGTCTGGGCTGCAGGCAGTCTCCCCACAACGGGAGCAACGCTGATCGCTGCCGGGGGAACGACGGCGATCAGGTAAGTAACTAGGACCGTTAGGACGGTTCAGGACCGTCAGTGGTCGGCAATGGGAAAATGCCAATGACGGTCCTGAACCGTCCTTGGTCCTTAACGGTTAATGATTCTACAAATCTAAACACATGGTTATTATCTGGTCATGTGTAATGTATACATATTTAGGGTTGTTTCTCTTTATAAAACTGGGCATGGTACCCAAGTAATTTTTTTGGTTATCTGTTGCTAAGTTCACCATCAGGGCATGAATGCCTATGCTGTGTTCTGTGGCCCACACCTGTGCTAGGGTTTACAAGGGGCCGTTTCATGCTGTGCTGTCTGGTTGGAAAGATATCTCCCCAAACTGTTTCACATGAAGGAGCCATACTGACCTGGTCCATTGAATGGCAGCAGTGAGCAGGGACAAAGTGACCCGCGTGAGGATTGAGCTATGGGACTGCTACAGGAAGCTCCCACTGAACCTCAGAGACTGTGCAAATGCCACCCTCCTGCTACTAAACCACCTCCTCAACCAAAAATGTATGCTTACAGGAGTGTGGCTAAGAGTAGGGATTTGTGTCAGTTTGTGGGTCAGTGTGTGACTGTGTGTGTCTCTGTGTCAGAGAGTGTGTGTTTTTATTCATGTGTGAGAGTGTGTGTATCTGATTGTGTGTATATTTGAGTGTGTTTGTCTAAGAGTGTGCGTGCATCTGACTGTCTGTGTCCGTGAGTGTGTGTGTGTGTGGGAACGTGTATGCAAGAGTGTGTGTGTGTGTGTGCATATTTCTGGGTTTGTGCAACTTTGTGTTTCCAAGTGTGTGTGGGACTGAGTGCATTTGTGTCTATTTGTGCATGGCAGTGTACCTAGCTGTGTTTATCTCTGTAGGTCCGGCCCTTTGTAAGTGTCTGAAATGTGGTTTTGTGTGTTTTTCTGCAAATGCGTAAAAGTGTGTGTTTGTACATATTTTTTAGAATAAGGCCCCACATTTTCAGATGCATACGCTCTCTGTTTTCACTGCCCGACAAAGTCAAAATTTTGCCAGGTCAGTCTTATGGCTGAGCAGATTATACTTTTAGCAGATTTACGTTTTTTGATGTGTGAGTGCACCTGCTGTGGTCATTGTGGGGCATAGGAAGAAATGTTAACTAGTAAACTGGTGAGTCAGGTAACCCTGATGCTTTCAGAATCGTTTAAGTAATGTGGTCAGCTTGAAACTTAAAGTCATCCGTATACATTGCTTAACGGGGCATGGTCATCCCCCCTGAAAAATGAGTATTTCATAAAGATACAATCTTTATGAAATACTCATTATGACTGTGTTGGAATTTCACTGAAATTCCAACCCAGTCAAGAGACATACTGAGACAAATTAGGGACTACTTTGTCTCTGTGTTTCTCCTCTGCCTGACTTTCTTTGAAACAAAGTGTAAATCCCGATAGCTGTCACAAGTGACGACTGCAGGGAATTGGCGGTGTCTGCTAAGGATCCTGCAATCTCCTCTATAGACCCCAATACTGAATTCTCTCTCTACCAAACCTCCAGCAGAGATGTCACCATCGAGTGACTTTGCGAATACGGCGAAGTTCCCAAACGGTGACAGTGCCACTTTAAGTAATTCTCACTTTCATTGTGCCACAGGCGGGACTAGAAGTTAGTTCTGTACCAAAACCTAGCTCCAGTGGTTGGCATTCTGTAAGTGCCCACAAAGATAGATATGTATTCACCGTAGTGGAAACCTTGTCTGTTCCATTTAAACCAACTCTGTCTTTTACTGACTTTCAGCCTATTCTGTAAATCTGTAAAATAATGGTTCTTCATAAGTTCTAAGATCTTTTATACCATTTTATGCTAGGATCCAGTGTATCTGTCAGCCAAGGGAAACAGCTTCTATTCCACTTAACATCACATGCAGTTAGATACCTTATTGATAATCGAGAGCAGTATTTATAAACTGTATAATGTGATAACTTGAAATATAGTAAAATTAAATTGTAATTTTTCATTTAATAATTTGCATTTCAATTATCATTGAGTTAAAAAGCAATTTTTATCTAACTTTAGCTTAGATATGTTCTAGCCAATCTAGCGTTGGTAACTGATTGATAGTGTTTATTGACTTCTGGTCATTTTACATTTCACAAACCATTTTTCTGTTGGTAGTAAAGGCTGAGTCTGTAACATTGTTGTCTTAGAAACAGCCCTATTCCATGAATTCATTGGTAATCTTGCAAGTGCATCCACATTATTAACGGCTCATCGGCAGCATATAACGTGTCAATAAATATCGGATATGTGATTGTAAATTGTGATTTCTCTTGTCTACTTTAATTTCATTAACCGTGTTTCGCAACATGTAAGCTAAATGCATTATTTATTTTGGAGTGTGTTTATACTTTAGGTTCTGTTAATTAACGTGATGCAAATTAGGTTTGTCTTTTTCTCTGGTCCCCTCGTCAAACTTGCACTGTCACTTCAAGAGCTATTACAGAGCTTGCATTTTAGTTTTATAATAAAAAAAAGTTAGCAATCTAACTTAAAATGAATGTTAGGTTAATCTCAGGGGTGAATAAAGTTTTGTCTAGAAACTGGTGTAACAAGATTGCAAACAACATAGGTTCTGGGCTGGCTAATACCAATTTTGTGCATATTGGATTTCGGACATCTGCATACACAGCATGCTCCCTTCCCACACACACACACTGTGCTGCCCATGTCCTCTCCTCAGCCTGTCTTCACCCTGGCAGCTAGGGGACATTACGTCAGAAGAGGCAGAGGAGAATCAGGCTGAGGAGAGAACTTGGTCTCGGTACTGGAACAGTAGGAAGCTGTATTTTCATAGTTTCAGGGGAAAGACCCAGATAGGAAGGGTTTTATTCCTGGATAGTAAGAGTTACCCTTGTTGTAGTATAGACAAACTGTCACATTTCTGAAAGTTCCTCAGTTCCTCTACTGCAGCTTTCCTGGGGTGAGAGAGCTGCAGAGGTAAGTATAAAACACACCTCTACAGAACTAGCTCCAGTGGCACTTAGGCGTTAAATGTCATACCAAATGGATGTGTGCTTTGTCTTTTCTTTGAGAGTGTGCGATTTGAACAAATGCATGCACACAGCACCGGCGCCACAGTGTTAAAATTAATTTACATGATATTTTCTACTTTTCTGCTAGACATTCAGTTTGAATTAAAAAATAACCTTTAGTTAGCTATCAGGTTGTGATAAACCCCACGTGTGACAGCTCCCCTTTAAACTACAAAGTGTTGTTGATCAATTGGTTTCTGGATAGGAGATTTGCCAAGCAAGAGCTTTCATTTGCACTTCTTCAAATGAAATCAGATGTATGATTCTTCAGATCACTGATTCATTATTTATTCAGTCTATTGTCATCCTGTACTTTATGTATCTATTTATTTATTTATTCATTTACTTTCTTTGTAAGCCCTTGATGAAATGCCAAGGTTAGTTTTAGTGCTTGAAACAGACCTTCAGGGAAGATTTATCAAGGCAAGAACAGGTGCTATTCTGTGTTATTACCAATGTGCTAAGCATTTAGCACATTGCATTCAGTATAGCCCTACACAACAGCGCTCAGAACCACTGTCTCCACTGTATGAACACTCACTGCATGCGCAAACCTTAGAGTCACATGGACTGGGTGACATGACAGATAGCTGTAGATGGTGGAGATTTCTGGGATTTTGTTAAAACTGACTGAAAATTTTTTGACAAAAAAAAATGAGGGAATTTACACATAGCTTCTTAAAGCCATGACTACTACACCCTGTTCCAAATTATTATGCAAATTATATTTAAGTGTCACAAAGATTAAATATTTTGTTTTTCAGTTTAACTCATGGATGGTATTGTGTCTCAGGGCTCTTTTGATCACTGAAAACAATCTCGGACACCTGTGATAATTAGATTGCCAGATGAGCCCAATTTAAGGAAAAACTACTAAAGGAGGGTGTTCCACATTATTAAGCAGAGTACCATTTTCATGCTATATGGGGAAGAAAAAGGATCTCTCTGCTGCCGAAAAGAGTGAAATAGTTCAATGCCTTGGACGAGGTATGAAAACATTAGATATTTCACAAAAACTTAAGCGTGATCATCGCACTATTAAGAGCTTTGTGGCTGATTCAGAGCACAGACGGGTTTGTGCAGAGAAAGGCACATTGAGGAAGATTTCTGCCACATCCATGCATCGGATCAAGAGAGCAGCTGCTAAAATACCATTACGTAGCAGCAAACAGATATTTGAAGCTGCTGGTGCCTCTGGAGTCCCACGGACATCAAGGTGTAGAGTCCTCCAGAGTCTTGCAACTGTGCATAAACCTTCTATTCGGCAGCCACTAACCAATGCTCACAACCAGAAATGGCTGCATTGGACAGAAAAATACATGAAGACTAATTTTCAAACAGTCCTGTTTACTGATGAGTGCTGTGCAACCCTGGATGGGCCAGATGGATGGAGTTGTGGATGGATGTTGGAACATTCTCAAGCAAAAGATCTATGAGGGTGTGAGGCAGTTTACATCAAAACAGCAGCTCTGGGAGGCTATTCTGACATCTTGCAAACAAATTCAAGCAGAAACTGTCGAAAAATTAACAAGTTCAATGGATGCAAGACTTGTGAAGCTGCTATTAAATAAGGAGTCCTATGTTAAAATGTAACTTGACCTGTTAAAATGTTTAAAAAGTAAAAATGTTGTTATAAGTTTGATTGAAATAGCTTTTGATTTCAGTAAATATGCTGCAAACTCAACAAATGACAATTTTAAGTTCTTTACAACCTATAAAGTGTTTTGAAACTTACTGTGCGTTATAATTTGGAACAGTGCATTGGAAGTTTTTTATGTTTAAAAAAATACTGTTATCATTAGGAGGTTTGTTCAATAAAATTTGAATTGTACTCTTAATAGTTGATAACATGAGAATTATGCTGACTGTTTTTTACATCAATTATTTAGGTAAATGAGAAAAATATAATTTGCATAATAATTTGGAACAGGGTGTATAGCAAATTATACAGGTTATGGTGCTCACCGTGTCCCATTTATATACTTCTTGCCTTTACAAAATATTGATTAATGGAAGATTTCAAGACTTTTTACACTGTTTCAGGAGGTACTTTAAAATGTATTTATTTTTTATAATTCTTTATTTTCAAAATGCTTTGATGTAACACAAGTAGTATGAGCGGTAGGCATATGGTTAAAGCATATGAGTTACTTATAAACAGTGAATGAATCAACAATCTAAAAACATGCATTGCAGCAGTGATTAAAGGCATCAATTTCTCTTTTTAATCCAAGCATTTGACATTTGTTTGGGGACAATGGGAATGAGTTAGCTCAGGTATGAGCTTTAATAAGGTTATCAAGCTTGTCGTGGTCCCTGAGCGTGGAACCTATGATGTGTTTCAGGCATATTTGTGGATTCAGGCATATTTGTGGAGGCGCGGACTAAGGGTACAGTGTCATATATGATATATCATGCTGGCATCAGGCTAAGGAGGTGGGTTCATATCGCACTAGATGTGGGCTTATGTGCTCCAGATAATTAGTGGGTGGATTAGGGGGTTATGCATCCATGCTGAGAACACCTGACCGAAGGGCGCAGCGGGCGTGGGGGAGGTGGTACGCCATATGGTGAGAGCTATGTATGTGCCAGCCCAATCAGCCCTCACTTTTGCAAGACTCGTGCCTGTGAGGGTAGTGGGAGGTGTTGCCAGCAGTGAACAAAATGCAAACTACAAAATGAAACCAACTATGTACATAAAATAAGTCAGGGCTTTTCTTAGGGGTTGTCCCACATGAAAGATCCCCATGCAGTCATGGTAACGCAGGCTGTGAGCTCGTAGCTCTTGGGACAAAGGGTCTTATTGAAGCGGGGTCCCAGGAATCCACCGGTGCACTTGAGGTTGAGGGTGCGTTCGGGTGTAACAGTCCCAATGTTCTTTTCCTATAGAGGGAAGTGCATGCTCAGTCCCTTCTTGAGTCTCAGCTAATGAGACATTCACTCCCCAGCTGTAGTCAATTTGTGCGGTTCTCGACTGTATCGTGAAAGGTCCAAAGGATTTGCACATCAGGAGGGTGGACTTCATGAGATCCTGGTACAATGTAAGAGTTGAGTTTTCAAAGGTGAGAGGTGCATTGCCTTTCAGCGCTGACATTATTTGGAGTTTATCCGGCAGCGTGATACATCTGATAATGACGTCCCGTATCATAGAGATTGTGCGGTAAGTAGTGTCTGGAAGATGATATACACTGTCAATATGTATTTTCTTGGCCACTGCATGAGGCAGGATAGTAATCAGCATTCTTCTGATGCAGTGTGGCAGTTCTTCTGCAGTGACCGCTGCGGGGATGCCCCTTATCTTAATATGTGTACGTCTCTGACGGTTTTCGAGTGTCGTGAGTCTGAGTGACAGGGTTTTGTTTTGAGCTTGGAGCACTTGCATGGAGTTATCCACGTTGGTTAGGTGATTTTGCACTGCCATCATGTCTTCCTCAGTAACTCTAACTCTCTCTGTAACTGCCTGTAAACTGTGTCAGTTTTTAGAAGTGTGGAGTCCGCCACCAGTAGTTTATGGATGTCCGCCAATAGAAGTTTTAAGTCCCGCTTAGTGGTAGGTGCGGAGTTGTCAGACAGCTCTTGTGGCTCAGCTTGTGGGATTGGTGAGTGCTGCGAGCCTTCTGGCCTGTCATGGCCTTTTGCAGCGTCTCTGTCCCCGGCATGCAGACCTTCCGAGGGAGTGGGAGTGGGTCTGGGCCTTTGTAGCAAGGCCCCTATATCCCGTCCCTCTGCCGGGTTTTGGGGTTTTTGAGTGCCGACCCATTCCTGGCATATGTGCTGTGAGGCTGGCGGTGTTGGGGCGGGTGGGATCTCGTCACTGTTTGCAGCAATACCTCCCAGGAGTTCTTCCAGGCCTTGAAGTATGCCCCAGGCCTGTGCTTCCTTTAGGATGGCTTTGGCACCAGCAGGAGGTACTTTTTAATGCGATTTATAAACATGTTATATGCCTGCAAGGTCAGGCATTAGGGTTTATAGCTTGTGCTAAGGATTCTGGGTTGGCATTCAGGAACATTCAGTGTAAACATACAGGGTTATTCGCTAAAATTGAACATTCCAAGTAAATTTCAAATGTAAAGTAAGCAAAGTCGAACTGGAACAATCCTCTGTCAGTCATGCTTTCAGTTTGGAAACTTTGACTTTAAATCAGAAATTCACATTGTATTCATTTTTTATACATTTAGTAAATTACCCTGATAGTGTTGTTGTGAAAATGATTATTTCCTTCTATTATAATATGAGATTTCTTTTTGTTTTTACTTTTTTTTTTTTTTTACTTTTACATTTGGTCCCGTTATGCCGGACCTGTATTATTTCAGTCTAGTTCTATAACAGAAAGCCCAATAGTTATCAGTAGGTAAATACATCAAAATAAGTGATTGTCTTGGCCCATTACCGTCCTTAATAATACATGCAAGATGCTAACGGGGCTGGAAACTACTACTGATGCAATGATCTAGGCCCATTAATTAAACATTGATGGTTAAATAAAACCAGTATGATGCTTTGACATTGTTAATATTTGATCCAAAGTAAATAATATGTATAGTGAACAAATATAGCCCATAATGTATAAACTGTATCAGACATATACTACAACTTCAGTGATGTTTTGCCAATCTAAAGGCTTTCAAGGCATCATGGGAGTTGTAGTTGTAACGTCTATTTTTTTTGGCAACCCTGGTTGAAATAGTTACTGTTGTATCTATAAAAACATGGAGATTCTTTATTGGAATATATCTGGTTCTATGCGTTTTAAAACTATGCCTAATGTCTCTGTCAATGGCCTGCAGTGTAAAGGATTGACATCTGCTTGGTAGCTACACAGTTACAGGTACAAAGTGTCATCCAAGTGGCATATATATTGGAAAAGGATAGCATTAAGCAGTATCAGTGAGGATATTGAATATTCCTACTGTGATGCCTGTTTCAGGTTGACCCCTTAGATTATTCTGCGCTTTGGGGTGCATGGGAGAGTAGTAAACATCCCCCTGGAATTCACTATATATTCACTTATATCCTGCCTTCTCATAGTGAGGGTTGCATCCTTGGTCAGTGATTTACACTGTTCTGGTCAATGTATATATTCACTGATATCTCTATAGTCTCTGTATAGAAATGTGTCCAGATTTATAGGCTACAAATAGCTCAAAGTTTTATAGGCTAAAAATAGCTCATGCTCATTTGCACTTGTGTACTTTGTCAAAAGAGCAATATGACATTTACACATTAAAGAAAATATATATGTAACTTTGTTATTACCTAAATTCATAGGTTTATTTCTTCCTTATGTTACGTAACGTAATGTTTGTTACTGTCAGGAATGGGTAATCCACACACACACACACAGAGTATAGGGAAACAGTAACCAGAATGAAACAATAAAAAGAGAGAAGGTATGTTTACCAGACCTTAGAATGGCCGCGATAACATGTGCCCTAGATAGGTGAAAAATACAGAGTCAAAATAGGAAGCCAAGATCAAGGATACCAGAGATACTCAATTACGAAATAACAAGCCAAAGTCAGTGAACCAGAAAATCAGAAAAGCCAAATACAAAGCTGGGTCTGTAACGAGAAAAACAAAGTAAGCACTCTCGGGCAGAATAAACCATGACAGGGCAATGATCTCCAGGAGAACAAAAATGTTATTGGACAGCATCATCACCCTTCACCAAATCACACAAAGAGGTGTGACCTGTGAAAGGCAGATGATGTATCCCAATAATATGACCTGTCACATGCTATAAAAAGCCTGCACCTACAGGATCCTGTAATTTCCAAGGACTCCTGTAGGTTGTGCAAAGCGGTCAAAATGATTAGGAAATCTTGCCAGAAGACAAATCACGCAGGGGCTGCTCTGCACATGGCGCAACCAAATGCCGCACAGCGCTGACTGTGGCCGAGACGGTGTGGGACTGGAGACTTCGTGGCTGCTGCGCAGCACCCCCTGGAAGTCGCATGTGCCGCACAGCATACCGAGGTATGACATTTACGCAGTTCACACATCCTCACAAACATAATTTGCGACAATTACGAACATCTGAATAGACAGACACATACAGAATCAGACACAATCACACATTAGCACACACTGATAGAACACTAACATACTAGTACAAGTACAAGCACACCTGCACATAGGTACGTCATAGTACACATACTAAGTCGTACCCTGGCAAGCAGACATTCTGTCACACACACTCTAGTTCACATACATGGACACACAGAGTTCACGAATACCGACACACACTAGCACCCATGCTGACACTAGCAAACATGCAGAGGCACACATACATAAACACAAACTCACACACATAATTGGAAACACAGTAGCACACAAACATATGTATATACACAGCCTCATCACCACATATACACAAAAGTTATAATTTTATAACATTGATTAGCATTATTCACAAACCCTTAAATCAGTAACAGAAATGCATTCTAATCTTATAGTAGAATACTTATTAATTAGCACTATAGTGCAAGGGTTGAAAAGTTGCGTGGTTTGAGGACACAGTAAAGGTATCAACTTAATTCAGAAAAAGGAGTTGCGCTCGACTATTTATTTTTGGATACTGTGTTCGAACATAGGCTTCTTGGATGAAAGGCTAATTAAAGTGGTGTGTCCTACGACAATACAGTGGGTGCTAAGGAACTAGACTTCTGGAGTAACCCCAACCCTCAATGGGCTATAAAGTAAATTGAAATGCTGTTTGTTAAATGTCAGAATTCATATAATTTTCACAGAACATTTTCACATATTCTCTAGCAGAGAATGATGATTTTGTCCACATTAACTTGTACTCATTAAACTTGAATGTACGTTCAAAGTGTCTTCGGTAAATAGCAAAATTACTACTTTAGGTCAAATTCAGATAATATTTCAGAAGTTTGCACATTTTGGTTCTGATTTAGAGCTTAGTATCTCTTCTAATTTGAGATTTGCAGACTTTTTTTGGTGAGGAAACACCAATAGAAAATGGAACATTGTTTTGAAAAGTATGGGTATACATTCAACGATCAACACTGGCAGATTCAGAACCACATATTTACTTACTATTACACATACATACTGTGTTCATGTTTGGATGATAATTCTGCTGCATATTCTCTCACTCTCTCTAGCTTTTGTGACCTGCTTTGACAAGGACTCATTGGCATGTCAGCTATCCAAACTTATGGATGAGAAGCCCAACATGACATGCCTTCTCCAATATGCACCACTATGCCTTCTATAGAACAGAAACTACTATCTATCATACAAAGTTACAGCAAAGCTAACACTCTCTCCTTAACGTAGGACTTTTTAGTGGTTTTTTTTATTGACCTACCTGCGCATACATTTTTGTGTAATAATAATCTCCAGATTCTTCAATTAATGATACATTTGTAGATCATGTCTCTTTAAAACCAGTGATTACTATTTAGGGGGAGATTTTTTTTTAACTTTTGAACATTAAAAAAAACAAAAAACAACAAACTGTAAAATACCACTAAAGTTGCCTAGACCATTTCTCAATGAAGGAAGTGGTCCTGTCATTTTAACTATGCAATGCAACACATTGTGTGTCTATAGTTTTGTAGAAAGTTCAATGTTTACATTGGAGGGTTAAATGCACCTCTGGTGGCTGTCTTTCTTCCTTCAGAACAGAGTGATACCCAGTCCTTCAATCAATGTCACTGATAGCATTTAACATTTTTTATTTACTGGACTATAGGTTCCTTTGAAACATTTTGTTGTAGAGGTTTATTATAGGCAATGCAAAGCAAAACACACTTGAAATTGTGTAACGGTTCGTCCAGTAACAATGATACAACTTGGATATTTTTAAAAACATTTACCATACTGAAAAATGGTGTAATCATTCTGATGACAGGTGGCAAATTAGGTCGAGCTAGCTCCAATTATGATTGGTAAGTTCTATGAGAATATAATACACAATTATTATGATTGCATCCGAATAGATAGCATGAAACATTAATAAATATTATGTGCGATCAAAATGCTTTTGCTCTGTGCTAATGCAATCAGTTGCTGGTGAAATTATGTTAACAGTGTGCTGGGTTTTAAATCTTTCATATTTATTATTTGCAATCCTGTCAATTTATTACATTCTATTTAACTCAGATGTCCTGGAAAACTTAAAAAAGTTAAACTTGTGCTGTTGAAAAAATGTTTTGTCAGTAATTCCAAACCGCTCCTAAATCATCATTCATTTAAATTCTGATTGTGGGACCTTAATAAAATTAACAAATAGTTCTAAATAAAGATAACATATGATCATTAAAAGTAACATTTTCAAATTCTTAGCTTATTATTATATAGAACAATAGTTAAGTCATGTATAGCAATTAGTTTATAAAGAGCCCAGCAGGTGTGTGTAGAATAGGTTACAGAGTCCTTTTATTAAAGGAACACTATAGGGTCAGGAACACAACTATGTATTCCTGACCCTATAGTGCAAAACCCACCATTTAGGTGGCTTGCCCCCCTCAGCCCCCTTAGAAGGAATTAAAACTCACCTTATTTCCAGTGCCGCGCGGGTCCATCTGCACTGGCCCTGCCCCCTTGGTGACATAATCAGAATTGCTATAGGGAAAGCATTGCATTGGATAAAATCGGCATGGGGGCGGGGCCAAGCACAGTTTTGGCCAATCAGCAACTCCTCATTCATAGAGATGCATTGAATCAGTGTATTTCTTTGAGGAAAATTCAGCTTCCCCATGCAGTGCGTGGAGACGCTGAACAGCAGTGCTGCCTACTGTGCAGCACTGCCCCAGGAAGCACCTCTAGTGGCCATCTGAGGATTGGCCACTTGGAGGTGTCCCACTGCCTTTTTTCACGGGCCAGAAGGTGTTAAACTTGATCTCACGATAGGTGCCCCTGAAGGCACAGAGACAGCGAGTATACAAAGCCTTAAAAATTCAGTACAAAAGCTAATAGGTGCCCTTGAAGGCACAGCATAGGCATTCAGTTTCCTACAAGACAGCTAGATATCCAGTGTTACTGAGTGTACTGAACCTGTGACACCCATTACTAAAGCTAAGAGGTGCCCTTGAAGGCACTACATAGGTATTCACCCTCTTACAAAACTATTAGACATATAGACTGCATTGGAAGTACCTACAAGAAACCTCTGTTATAATTAGCCCAATCTAATAGTTCCATATAATTCAGGCTAATACTGCATGGACTATTTAATATGTGTTTTTCTTTCTGACACTCCAGTTCAGCTAGCTACCTCTGTGACCACCCTTGATCGTATAACTACACTTTGTTATTCTCTCAAAGTAGCAACCAAGAGATATATTTGTTGCCAATTCCACTAGGAGACTAGCTAATTGACAAGACAAGGGAATTGGAGCCATCCAGAATACAGCTTAAAGGACCACTATAGGCACCCAGACCACTTCAGCTCAATGAAGTAGTCTGGGTGCCAGGTCCATCTAGGATTAACCCTTTCTGCTGTAAACATAGCAGTTTCAGAGAAACTGCTATGTTTACCTATGGGTTAAACCAGTCTCTAGGGGCTGTCTCATTGACAGTCGCTAGAGGCGCGTCTGCGCTTCTCACTGTGATTTTCACAGTGAAAAGACGCCAGCGTTCATAGGAAAGCATTGAGAATGTTTTCCTATGGACTGGCTGAATGTGCGCGCATGCGCATTCAGCCGATGACAGGGAAAGGAGGCAGAGAGTCCCCACTGCAGAGGGAGCCCGGCGGTGGAGAAAAGGTAAGTGTTTAACCCCTTCCTCACCGGAGGACCCTAAGGGTGTGGGGGGGGGGGGACCTAGAGACCCCATAGTGCCAGGAAAACGAGTATGTTTTCCTGGCACTATAGTGGTCCTTTAAACACATATTCCTCTGTTTCTTCTTTTTCATTTTCATAGGGTCTATCAAATTCATATATATATTTTTTTCACGATATTACCTTTGTTTCTTATTGTGTGATATTTATAGATGTTCTTTTTCTCTTTTATTTTAAATATACTATTAAATGATAAGTTTTAATTTTTACTTGTATATACCTGCGGGCAATTTCCGAATTTAGCAAATCTGAAAAACAATATGTTCCATTTCTAACACCTTGTCAGTTTGCAATATCTCTTAAAGATAAAATACACAGTTTGAGAAATACAATATTTGCATTTTGCCCATAATATGTTTTCAGTTTGGCTAATTTGGTCTTAAATTTGAAATTCACTTTAAATTCACTTAGAATTCCCTCCAGTTCTTTCTTTAGTAAATAACCCGGTAAAAGTCTAGCACAATTCAGTATATAATTCCAAACCTGACGTTGTGATGTTACAAAATTATTTCTTTTTAGTGAATAATTAGTTGCATTCTCTGTGAGTTAACTGCCTTGAAACAAGCTCAAGATCTGTTCTTGGAGACATTCGGGCATGGTAAATAAACAAACTTCGATGCTAGCGAACATGAATAAAAGAGCTTTGAATAGAGGGTAAAATATGCCAAAAGCAGTTGTATGACTGTAGCTGAGGTCTTAACTACTTGGAACAACACGCTATTTTGGGATGTGCTTTAGGTGAATTCTCTCAGGTTCCAAGTTTTGAAGATAACTATTTCTCACCCAGCTTGGAATCAACAGTTATAAAAATGAATACCCACAGGAAAAAAAGCTATAAAAGAGGATTCCTCCCCCTGGTGACTATGAATGGGAATCATGGAAGGCTGAAATTTGTAGAAAGATGTCAAACATGAGCAGGTAAAGAAAGCAAGCCTACAATTTCTCCCACCTCAGAAGGACCCAAGCCATCGCCTGGATAAATACAACCTATCCCACCCTCAATCTAATGGGTATTATTATTATTATTATTATTATTATTACTGGTATTTATATAGTGCCAGCATATCCATAGCGTACTAAAAGATACCTAGTCCCCTCTTCCCACTGTTTTTGACTGCACCTAATATTTGGAAGGGTAATGTAGACAATCTTCAGCACTAAAGATGTTGTGGACTACATATCCCATAATTATCTTACAGCCATAATGCTGGAAAACATCAGGTCAGATGTAGTTCACAACAACCTGAGTGCCAAAGTTTGCCTACACCCTGGGTTAGACCATTCCCTGGTCTAACCTTATAAAAACATTTATTTTTACTTGTCAGCAGTCCATCCCCTCTGTGCTGCTTGGTCTAATATAGAAGCATTAGCCTGAGAAACAATAAGGGACTGTGATTGGATGAGAGAGTCAGCTGACTGTTTGCAGCTTATCACAGCATCCATTACTGGTATACATTAGTATGGCCTTAAGGAAGTGTGTAATCTCTGCCTTAGCCACACCTCCATTAGGGTCTGTGGGTGGCCAGTGACCCTTATTTTGTGTAAAGCTGCTGGAAAATGATTTAATACTAAATGGAGGGACAGTCCCAGAGGACTCCAATCACTATAACCAATTCAGTGAGATGAAATGGCTTTTTTAAGGCTCTGTACAGCATGAAATCATAACAGTTAATATATTTTTATGTTTACTTTCAAACCTGCAGCTATTAGCTGTGCGTTGCTTTTCTCGTCTGCACTAGTCAGTGTTTGTTAACTGGAAAGGTTACGCAGGGGCTACTGGATGTCTAAATTCCCTACTAGGTTTTTAGTGCTGAGTTTAGACAGAATCTTTTTGGCGCTATGTCAGCTTCTTTTAATAGATATTAAGATAGTGGCAGGAGTAGATTGGGTCGTTGACGTCCCACTCCCATAAACTTTTATGTGAGAAGAATGCTACTGTCAGTGTTTAACACCCACAAGGGGGTTTTACTAAACAGAGAGAATTGCGTTAAACTATGCTTTACATGATATTTATTCAAATGACTGGCTGAGTGAACTAGTTATTTATCTCCAATAAGCCCTTATAGTTTATTACAGTCTCAACAACTCTGTGCTGTGGCTTGCAGTGCAACAAGGCAGAATTTATTAAAGCATGGGCTATCCAAGCAGCAATTCTCCACTTTTTGGGTAACCTAAATCCCTAGGATAATTTGCAAGCCTAGAGACAAGCCCTAATGTGAACTTTAGTCCTGCAACAGCTGGACTGAGACATGTTTGCTATTTCATTTGAGATAGTTGCACAGCATCATGTAAAGGTTAACTGCAATTGTGCCCATTGGGATTTTAAAAAATACAGTCTTCTAACGAATCATTGCTGCTGTTTAAATTTGCTTGATTAACTGAGATCATTCATATATGTCAGGAAACGGCTATAAGTTGAGATTTCTCCAATGTGAAGAGACTCTGCCCTGTTTTAAATTGTTGTGACGTCCACATTACTTCTATTTTGTTTCAGCTTTGTTATTATAAGTAATAACAAATATGAAATAATATTAAAAAAAAAAAAAAAATGTTTTCCTTGATGCCCATTTTATTTATTCTAGCAAGTGAGGGCCAATTAAGAACAAAGCATCTGTTTCCCTTCAGGGTAAACATGAAATGATTTGAAAGTGAATGAGCACAGAAAAGTAGTTACTGATGTGTTACATTTACATATTTTCCAATATTGCTTGAACTGAAAGTACTTGTGTTGCATTGATGCTTATATTTCTGTAAGGTCTAGTTTACGTTTATCATTTTATCATTAACTCTTCACTACTATGTTCTATTAGTTAAATAACTAACCCATAGCATTAGGACAGCCTAGCAGTTTAGAATTCAGAGATCCTCTGGCACACCTGAAATTTTAGAAATAATATAGAATACTTGTAACAAGCGGAACGAATCAGGAGGACCACCATAAGCAAAGTGACTGGACAATGTGGAGAGAAGCTTTTTGAGTCTAATCCGTGGACACAGGGCTAGAGCAGCAATCTGATTGGGTAGGGAATATCAGCGCATCATAACAGCAACATCAAGGCTGTGAAAAAAAGACATGCTCCTACACTTTGTGTTCACCTGTCAATTTTGCAAGGAGTAACCAAAGATTTAAGCATTTTTAGCACTTTAGATAAATGTTTGCACACTTGACAATTCCGTTCTACTTTTTGTACTTCATGTTCTACTTTGACTTAATCTTGAAAGTTGCTGTATATGTGTCACTACCGTTGTAAGGAGAGAACTATGTTTATTTATAAAATATTTTACCAGGAAAGATACATTGAGATTTCTCTCGTTTTCAAGTATGTCCTGGGTCCACAAATCATTGCATGGTTACATTAGAAAAAAAAAAAATGTCTTTGGTTTTTACTATATGTATTAGCTGATGTGTACTGTAGTCATTGCTGCCGTCCCAGGAGTGATGGGAGTGAGCGCAGGACTTTTCTTTTTGTATTTCTATTCACTTTTTGTATCACACAGCTTTGTTACAATGCAGCCGCCCATCCCATGTGTCCCCTATTAAGAGTTAACAAGTATATAGGGGTGTATATAAAAAATACCCCTTTCTGTCTCAATAGAGATATTTTTGCCAGAGGCTCAAGGAAGCAAGGTGAAAGGTCAGTGTAGGACCCATCTAGGGGGTCTGCCTTGACGTTGGCAGGCGGGCATTCCCTCCAGTGGCCATTGGAGTAACTAAATGACCTCCATTTGTTTAAATATACATAGGGATTAAGGAGAGAGCGCAGGTAACTTTTTTCTTTGGTTTTTTACTATATATACTAGCTGATGTGTACTGTAGTCATTGCTGCCGTCCCAGGAGTGATGGGAGTGAGCGCAGGACTTTTATTTTTGTAATTGTTACATTAGGGTACAATAAAATACAAAAACAATATTAATACACAATAAATACAAAATTTAACATAGAATAGGTAGGAAATAGATAATCAACCATGACAGGTGCATTCTGTTTTGAGGTATGTAGAGAGGGATCTCTAAAAGGACTTTAGGCTTAGGGAAAATTTTAAATTGTGCGGGAGGTCATTCCACAATTGCGGTGCTCTGTAGGAGAAGGAGGATCGGGCCGTTTTCTTTTTGTATTGAGGTAGACTAAGTAAAGTATTGGTACTGGATCGGAGGTTATAGGAAGTGGGAACAGCCGAGGAGAGCATTCTGCTCAGGTAGGGTGGGAGTTTCCCAGAAAAGGTCTTAAACACAAGGCTGGAAAGATGAAGGGTGCGTCTGGTTTCCAGCGACAACCAGTTTAGTTCTTTTAGCATGTCACAATGGTGGGTCCTGTAATTACATTGTAGCACAAATCGGCAGAACGAGTTATACAATGTGTTGAGTTTATTAATGTGGGATTGCGATGCAGATGCATATACTACATCCCCATAATCAATGATTGGCATCAGCATTTGCAGTACAATCTTTTCCTTTACTGTAGGGCTTAGGAAGGATTTGTTTCTGTACAGGGCACCTAGTTTTGGATAAAGTTTAGATGCAAGTTTTTCTATGTGGAGGCCAAAAGATAGAATGGGGTCTAAAATCATACCCAAGTGTTTGAAAGAGTGGACTGCGATCAGTGTGCCATTTGAATTTGTTTTGATGGATAGGTGGGAATTGTGTAATTTGTGTAATTTAGGTACTGTTCCAAAGATCATTGTGACAGTGTTGTCAGTGTTCAGGAAGAGTTTGTTTTTTGCAATCCACTTTTCTACATCTGTAAATATATAAAATGTATGTATTGAAATGTTCTCCACTGTTAAATGCTTCTGTTTTGTGTTTTTACAAATGTTGGAGATACTGAAGATACTGTATTTTACGTTAATTATTGCATTTCATTTACCTTGTATATAATTTTGAGTGCACCCTTTTTTCTTTTCTCTTCATTCCAATCTCCTTAAAATAAGTGACATCAATTATGACAATATTTTGTGTTGCTAGTTACTTCCTTTACTCTCCCTTTATTAATGCCCATTTCACTTGCCCTTTTTGTTTGTTTGTTTTGTTTATAGTTTATTCTTCTTTACGCCGGTTGCCATATTCCTTTCCCGTTTGTCAACCCCCTTCCCCTTTTCAGGCTTCTTTCCTACATTTCAGTCCCCTAAAACCTACCTTCCCTTCTTGACCATCACCTTATATCACTCCGTCCTAGTGCCTTCTTCAATGTGTACCATCCTTCCCATGTATGTTAGCCTTACCTGCATGTCAGTCTCTTTTCATCCTTCTTCCCATTTAAACGGTGGCACCCTGTGCCCAATTTGGAAGTAAATCCCTCATTTTTGTGCCTTGCAAGCATTTATATTATAGGGACACTCAGATGCCCAAATACAAAATACATACAAATTACTGATTAGTAGATATACCCCATATGAAAACATGCATGTATTTACTTAATTTCTCTTTGGGGGTATATCTAAAATCAGTGTGCAAAACCTGCAGTTCTATTGTCTGCTGCCTTGGCAAGCTCTCACCCAGACTTTCTGTGGCAGTCCCATCACATACTTCCAAATGTAGCTCAATGAGAAGTGATGTAAATCAGGTGCTCTGGGCAATTGATGCCTCTTGAGGACCAGGAAGTAACATTGCCAGTTGTCTGCTTGAAAGCCAAGGGGGTGTAACCAGGTTAATTTATAAAAGTGTCAATTTGAAGGGGGAAGTTATCATCATGGGTGACTGTAACCCCTTAAGGACACATGACATGTGTGACATGTCATGATTCCCTTTTATTCCAGAAGTTTGGTCCTTAAGGGGTTAATCTTCCTGATGTGAATTGGAAAACAAAAATAGCTACTTGTGCCAGGAGCACACATATTCTAAACTCCCTACTGGGATTGTCTCTAAAACAAGTCGTTGAGAAGCCAACTTGTAAAGAGGCCATACTAGATTTAGTGTTAACAAATGGAGATTTGGTATCAGATATTATTGTAGGTGAAAGTTTAGGATCCAGGGATCATCAGTCAGTGTGGTTTAATATAAGAACAGTGACTGAGTCACACCACACAAAAACAAAAGTTTTAGACTTTAAAAAAACAGACTTTTCTAAAATTAGAATATGTGTAAAGGAGTCATTATTAGACTGGAGCAATTAAAATGGAGTCCAAGAGAAATGGGATTATTTAAAAGTTGCACTGCTGAAGGCAACAGAAAATTGCATTAGGCTTGTCAGTAAAAGCAAAAAATTCAAGAAACCACTGTGGTACTCCGCAGATGTGGCCGAAATAGTAAAAAACAAAAAGTTAGCATTGTAAAAAAAAACAGAGTGAGGAAGACAGAATGATCTATAAGATTAGGCAGAAAGAGGCTAAGCAAGTTATAAGAGATCCCAAATCACACAGAGAAGAGAAAATAGCACAGTCAGTAAAAAAAAGGGGACAAAACATTTTTTTAGATACATAAATGAGAAAAGGAAAGTAAAACAAGGATTAGTTAGATTAAAAACAAAAGAAGGAAGGTACCGTATATACTCGAGTATAAGCCGAGTTTTTCAGCACATTTTTTGTGCTGAAAAACCCCAACTCGGCTTATACTCGAGTCAGTGTCTGTATTATGGCAATTTACATTAATTTACATTGTCATAATACAGACTGGGGGCTAGCAGAGCTGTTACTTACCTCTCCTGCAGCTCCTGTCAGCTCTCTCCTCCTCCGCGCCGGTCCGGTCAGCACCTCAGTCAGCTCCCAGTGTAAGTCTCGCGAGAGCCGCGGGGTCATAGTGCGGCTCTCGCGAGACTTACAGTGTGAGCTGAGAGAAGAGCTGCACGGACCGGCGCGGAGGAGGAGAGAGCTGACAGGAGCTGCAGGAGAGGTAAGTAACAGCTCTGCCAGTCCCCCTCCTCCCCCCACTGAACTGCCAATGCCACTGGACCACCAGGGAAGGAGAGCCCCCCTCCCTGCTATGTATCAAGCAGGGAGGGGGGGGGACGAAAAAATAAATAAATTAATAATATATAAATAAAAATAATAATAAAACAAATAATATAACCAAAAATTTAAATAATATTAATTAATAATATATAAATATAAATAAAAAAATAATTTAAAAAATAATATAACCAAAAAAATTAAAATAATAAATAATAATATTTTTATTTTTTTTATTTTTTATAAAAATGCCCATCCCCCACCAAGGCTCTGCAACACAAACACACACTGCACTCATACACACACACACTGCATTCATACACACACACACTGCACTCATACACACACACTGCACTCATATACACACACTGCGCACTCATACATACACTGCGCACTCATACATACACTGCGCACTCATACACACACACTGCATCACACACGCACACACACTGCACTCATAAACACCCACACTGCACTCATACACACACACTGCATTCATATACACAAACACTGCATTTATATACACACACACTGCACTCATACACACACACTGCACTCATATACACACACAGCGCACTCATACATACACTGCGCACTCACACACACACTGCATTCATCATATACACACACTGTAAATAAATATTCAATTAATATAATTTTTTTAGGATCTAATTTTATTTAGAAATTTACCAGTAGCTGCTGCATTTCCCACCCTAGTCTTATACTCGAGTCAATAAGTTTTCCCAGTTTTTTGGGGTAAAATTAGGGGCCTCGGCTTATATTCGGGTCGGCTTATACTCGAGTATATACAGTATGTAGAAGAGGATAAAGGTCTAGCCGACTGCCTCAATGAATATTTTTGTTCAGTATTTACAGATGAAAATGAAGGAAAAATGACAAATTACAGAGAAAGAGGTTCTATTTCAACTGTCAAAAGTAAAGACAAATACGTCAAAAGGACCTGATGGAATTCACCCAAAGTTATTAAAAGAACTTAGTGGTGTACTAGCAAAACCATTAACAGATGTATTTAATCAATCATTGTTAAAAGGAGTAGTCCCAGAAGATTGGAAGTTAGCGAATGTTGTGCCCAAGATAGGTAATAGGGAGGAGTCGGGCAACTATAGGCCAGTAAGCCTTACTTCAGTAGTGGGGAAAGTAATGGAAACCATGTTAAAGGATAGGATTGATGAACATCTAAAAACACATGGATTTCAAGATCAGAGACAACATTGGTTTACTTCAGGGAGATCATGCCAAACTAATCTTATTGATTTTTTTTGATTGGGTAACTAAAATAATAGATCAGGGAGGTGCAGTAGACATTGCTTACCTAGATTTCAGTAAGTCTTTTGACACTGTTGCACATAGAAGGCTTATCAATAAATTGCAAAGTTTGGATTCCAATATTGTTGAATGGGTAAGGCAATGGCTGAGTGACAGGCAACAGAGGGTTGTAGTCAATGGAGTATATCCGAAGCTTGATCTTGTCACCAGTGGGGTACCTCGGGGATCTGTACTTGGACCCATTCTCTTTAATATTTTTATTAGTGATATTGCAGAAAGTCTTAATGGTAAGGTATGTCTTTTTGCTGATGATACAAAGATATGTAACAGGGTTGATGTTGCAGGAGGGATAAATGATTTAGGTAAACTAGAAAAATTGTCAGAGTTATGGCAACTGACATTTAATGTGGATAAGTGCAAGATAATGCATCTTGGACGTAAAAACCCAAGGGCAGAGAACAGAATATTTGATAGAGTCCTAACCTCAACATCTGAGGAAAGGGATTTAGGGGTGATTATTTCTGATGACTTAAAGGTAGGCAGACAATGTAATAGAGCAGCAGGAAATGCTAGCAGAATGCTTGGTTGTATAGGGAGAGGTATTAGCAGTAGAAAGAGGGAAGTGCTCATGCCATTGTACAGAACACTGGTGAGACCTCACTTGGAGTATTGTACACAGTACTGAAGACCGTATCTTCAGAAGGATATTGATACTTTAGAGAGAGTTCAGAGAAGGGCTACTAAACTGGTTCATGGATTGCAGGATAAAACTTACTAGAAAAGGTTAAAGGAACTTACATGTATAGCTTGGAGGAAAGACGAGACGGGGGGATATGATAGAAACATTTAAATACATAAAGGGAATCAACACAGTAAAGGAGGAGACCATATGTAAAAGAAGAAACACTACCACAACAAGAGGACACTAAATTAGAGGGTCGAAGGTTTAAAAATAATATCAGGAAGTATTACTTTACTGAGAGGGTAGTGGATGCATGGAATAGCCTTCCAGCTGAAGTGGTAGAGGTTAACACAGTAAAGATGTTTAAGCATGCGTGGCATAGGCATAAGGCTATCCTAACTATAAGATAAGGCCAAGGACTAATGAAAGTATTTAGAAAATTGGGCAGACTAGATGGGCCGAATGGTTCATATCTGCCATCACAGTCTATGTTTCTAAATCTGCATATGTGTTTGTCAGTGGCTAGTTGTGTGTGAGAGTTTGTGACTTTGTGAAGTTGATATATGTGCAGAACAGTACCTGAAGAGGTATACTTGTGAGTATGATTTATTGGGTATGTGTAGGATAAATCAATATATGGTGTGCGTCACTATGGCTAACTGTGTGTAAAGTTTTCTTGCACCCAAACTTTTGCCCACCGTTCCCAAATGCCAGTGAAATTTGCCAAGCTCTTTTATTAAGTGTTTCTAATGTCTTATGTTTATTAAATAATTATTATTATAATGCACAGACTGTTCTTAACTTCCTTCATATGGACTGTCAGAGAATTGCCATGAATACCACCCTTTTTCTTGCTATCAGTAATCTGACATTTTGTGCAAAGCAGGACAAAACAAAATCATGATTCATGACTATTTGGAATAGTATATTCTTGCACATTGTATAATAGCACCTATCTGAGCTTGCAAGTCTGCCAGGAGCTGAAGCGGATGGGTGCAGGTTGGCCCCAATGGAGGTAGTTAACAATCTTCTTTCTCTATGACTGCCCTTGTCTGATAGCGTGTAGCTTTCTGGAATGTAACAATGTAACTTTCTGGAACGCACACTCCCACTGCAGCCAATGTAGATAGGTAAACACAGTCTTTATTTCTAAAATAACAAATAAAACAATATATTGTAGATAAAATATCACCGGATCCCTTATGGTAAATTACCATATTTTGCACATATATGCTGATTGTCAGCATACACATTGTCACTTTATGTGAGTGGGCTTGCATATTGCAGTTTTATACTGTATATGTTGTGCTGCTAAATGACAGCCTCAGTTTTTTTTTTGAATATGCACTTTAATTTATAGCGCACCTTTTCTTCTGTTTTTATTAAATATGCATAATGCTTGGTATATATGAGGGATATAGATTATGTTATAATGAAACAGTCCATAGTGAGATCAACATACAGTGTGGGTAGACATCAAACAGATAGCCTAGGAGGCAAGACACTTTAATTGTTACATTAATAATGAAAGTATCCCTGGACTCTGAACATATTTTATTTATTGTGTTTAATGTAGCGGATGCTGATAGAATCGTGTCTGTGTATAGAAATACAAGGTTTGTCATTGTAGTATGGTAAACGTATATGTGGTCCCTGTCTGTCTGTCTCCGTCTGTCTGTGTCTGTCTTTTTATGTTGGTTGACCCATTATAAATGCTGCTTCCGTTCACTTCAATACTGGCATATTGTACATTAACGGTTTATACTGAAAAAGAAAGAAATAGGAATTCTACAACCCTGAGGCAAAAATTGACTCACTTTTTAATGCATTAAATAGAAAATGCATAAAAAAATAATGAAAACAAAAATAATAACGCAAAAAAGCATTTCTCTTTAAAGATCCTGTAGTTGTGTTTACACAGACAAGTCCTTTATCTGGCAGACCAAAACGTGACCAGAAAGAGGCTCCACCAACCAGCAGTTTCTCAGTCTGACTTGTTTTTTTGTTTTGTAATTTTTAATATACCAAAAACATCTTCCCAGCAAGGGATTATGGGATGTGTATTTTATCCCCTACTAAAGCTCCACTCATCACACATGAATCTTTTTGCTCGCTAAGCTGATGGCATCTATCCGCTGCACACAGTTCTGTAAATCGGGCTATATGCAGGGATTTCCTGAGTTGCTATTTGGACTCATGCATGGCTACTGCTCTGCTTTCTCCATTGAAAGAGAAAGGGGTCAGTCCTAGTGGTACGCGTGGTATGCGCATGCTGCTGGACCAAGTTGGACACTTCTGAACTTTGATACAACGATGCAAAATTGTTAAAGGGTTACTCCAAGTCTACAATTCACTAACTCTTATTTTGTTCTAAAAGCATTAATCACTGGGACCTTCTCTGCAATTTTTTTGTTTTTCTTAACAAAAACTATCAAAGAAAGCCTTCGGTCCAGCTCTGGTAACATGTTCTTTCTGAAACGCTCTCCTACATCGTTGTGATTGCATCTTCTACCGAGGTCCGTTTAAAGGCTTCTCAGAGGGCTCAGGCATGGCAGGCCCCATGACCCACCAATTAGATCAGTCTGATAGAAGGAGTGTATTGGTCCTAAAACCTACACATTGCAGGCACACCCACAGATATGTCTGCAAGTGAAGAAGCTGGTTCTTTTTGTAAAAAATTTTTGCACAGAATTAATATTGTCCCGGACTGATTGATCACGTGTGCTCCCACTAGACCTTAAGTCTGAATATCTCTGTATAGGCAGCATTTTAAGCTGAAACACTGCACATACAGACTGTTTGCACCATAACCACTTAAAAAGAGAAGTGGTCACACTGGCTGGAGTAACCCTTTAAGATGCTTAAAATTACTGTTTAAAGGGGAACCTTGACTTACCAGGATTGTTAACATTATATTAACTTTTTACTTTTATTTAACAAATGTGTGTGCAAGAGGTCTGTAAAATAGAATTAAACGCAGAAATCCACTATGCTGAATTTAGTCTTTATATTGAGCTCCTTCATGTTGGTTTTCTGGAAGTGGCAGAATTTTTTTTTTTAGAAATGAGACAGAACATTTTTGTGGCTTAAAAAGTAACGGGAAAATTGATACATATGTTGCATTGAGTAAATGCACAGTGCATTGCGTCGCAATTATCTACGGCACTTTGATAACTCTCCCTAGTATTACACCTCGTCTCATGCAATGTGAGCCCTGACTGTGCTTGGCCTAAACTGGGTCGTGATGTCTATTGTTAAATCTGTAATATACAATCAAAAACTATGCATCACATGAATAAAGGTTTAATATGTAAATAACAGAGAAAGGTTTAGACACTCCAAGGTTCAAGCAGAGAATTTAATTTGAACCAAATGTCAAACAGCAACATTACAACCTGTGATGTCTCTCTCACACAGGTGGAAACGTTGCCTTTTGACATTTGGTTCAAATAAAATTCCCTGCTTGAACCTTGGAGTGTCTAAACCAGGCTTCCCCAAACTCTGGCCCTCCTGATGTTGCTGAACTACAGCTTCCATGATTCTCACCCTATCTATTTCATTCACAGAATCATGGGGGTTGTAGTTCAGCAACATCTGGAAGGCCGGAATTTGGGGAGGCCTGGTCTAAACCTTTCTCTGTTATCTAGATATTGTACCTGGTGCTGGGTCCAAGTTTAGCCGAACCCAGCCTCATATTGATGGGATTGAGTGCAGTTCCTAACTCATTTTTGAATAAAGGTTTAACACAACTTGAAGGGGATTTTCACTGTTTTATTCAATTATGTGATTTTCAGAGAAATTACAGTTCCGCTTTAACGAAGTGCAGGACTAATGTAAGCAGTGTTACCAGAAAGCTACGTTAATTGTGCAATGAAACGTCTTAGTGAGGCATTTTTCATTCCCTGACGTTTGAACTTGCAGACCATTGATATTACCATACTTCTATCCGGCATCTGACTTCCAAGCGTGACAGGTGTATGGGGAGCCTGTGAAATATACAGCCCCTCTTATCTCCGATATTGAAGCACAGCTCTGTTCAAGGAACACTTATACCTCCTTCACAGAAACCGTGTGCCTCAGAGTGCCTTCTACAAAGTAACGTCTGTAGGAAAGCCTCAAAAAAACCTTCTCGCACCAGCTGTTTGAAGCGAGTTATATATTTTGTGTTTGATGTCTTTCTGTTGTCTCTTATGTTAGGTGTTCTTTTTAATAGTTCCATATTAATGAGTTAGAACACAAACCTCAGTTCCTTTTGGCTGTTTACTTATTTATTGTTTCCATATCATTTGTGAAGTATAAAAACTCAGCGCACTACTGTCATGCATGATCGAAACAATAAGTAAATAACACATCTCAGGGTTCTATTTACTAAAGCTATTATTTGTACTGTATTGGTAGCTGTATGCTTTTATCCTTTTAAATAAGGAAAACGACAAAAGCAGTGCTTCTTATCCAAAGGGTGGAATATAAATATCAATTAAAACAGGGGCACCCGTGATGTGCCTTCATCGGTAAATCCTAATTAGACACTAGCGAGTTGCAGTAATAAATAAAATGCTAATAGGGAGTTACATAACTGGAGATGATTGCAGTATGGAAGATGCTCACTTATATCAGTGTTCAAGCATCCAGTGACGCTCGTTCATTAAGAGAAATTATGCTGTTATGTCATAGTGATGTCGTGATCCTCAGAGATTGATGGTGCCATATGGTGAAGTTGCTTTTAGAGTGGAAAAAACAAGTGTATTAGGCTGAAAAAAAACATTGGGGAGGATTTCACAGTCTCTGGAGTTGCCTATGTAAGATAAGCAAGCATTGTCTTAAGTAATATATGCATAGTGTTTTTCTTATTTGAGCTGCCTATTATTTTTGGGGTATTTTGTATCTATGTGGCTCTCTTTTACTTACTGGCTAAAAAAAGAATATGACCATTTTTAGGAGTGTGTGGCTCTGATGACTGAATAGAGCATAGTTCCTGCATTTTTAAATAATTTATTTTGCCTGAGATTACACCTTTTCTAAGGTTTCTGCTATTACCAGAGTCATGTTAACCTCAGTGTGTTGGCTTATTGTGTGCTGAATAACAGTGTGCAAATCTCCAAGGGTTGCAGAACTGCTAAGAATAATTGCAGAAAATTATCTGGTATCAGAATAGGTAATTTTACCCTCCGCATTCCTTAGGGAGGATTTCTGAAGGCTCTGTTTTATTTCTAGCAAAAGCTAAACAGCTGATCTGTGAGGTCTCACTAGGCTATATAGTGCAGTAAAGCTTTTGGTAAAAATGAAGAGGTCACCTAATGCACTAAACCAGTCCAAATGGTGGACAAGTCCACATAGTGCAGTTTAATAACGGTTGTATGGTTTTGTAAAACACCACCGTACAGATCACATAATGGAGTAAAATTTGTCCTAAATATATAAATATTATATATATATATATATATATATATATATACTGAACAAAATTATAAACGCAACACATATGTGAGGAAGGCTGAACTTGATGGACGCAAGTCTCTTTTCAGCTATGTAACTATGTAACTTTTGTTTTTGCCCCAATTTTTCATGAGCTGAACCCAAAGATCTAAGACTTTTTCTATTAACACAAGGCGTATTTCTCTCAAATATTGTCCACAAATCTGTCTAAATTTATGTTATTGAGCATTTCTCCTTTGCCTAGATAATCATTGTATATAGGATGAGGTAGAGGCAAAAAAATGCCTACAAAATTCAAAATATAAACAAAGAAAAAATAAGACATGCTGCAGATACGCCACACTGAAGTCCCAACAGTGTATATACAATCAAAGAACAAACACGAGTCCTGCACATCCAGTATAGGTGTGCACACCCAGGTGCTACCACAATTTATTTGAGAACAAAGTTAAAACAGCAAACGTTTTGAGCAGCAGCCCTTTCTCAATGCTAATGTCCTACAGTATATGCAAGATAACAACAATATATACAAAAAATAGTGCTTACATAACCCAAAAGTGCCACCCCCAGGTAATCAAATAGAAGCAGGATCAGATGTGCAGTACATTTCCATCACTCTGGCATGTTTGATTCCAATCACTTCCTGGATCGGCAGAAATGGGCGTGATAATGTCATCACATTAAAAATATCTTTTTTAAATTAAAGTCTGGAAATAATAGCAAGACAGCATTTTAACCTATCAAAACAACACACAAACGTGAGCAAGTGATGGAAAAAAAGACACTTATGACTATCAGAGTAATATTCATTACTATAGTAAACATATACTTGAGCATATATATTCCTAAAGCATGTGTATAAAGATACAATTAAGTTAATGCTGAAATCTGCAAGCACTAAGGCACATATACAATTAAAATATATATGTGCAGAGTCAGGGAGAGCAGAAATTGCTACACAGATTACCCAACCAGTGAAGTGTATAATACAGTATAGAAATAACAATTAAGTAGACAAAACAGAAATATATATATACACAAAGACCACCCTCACTATCTTGTGGGGGTGAAAAATCGAGTGCCATTCCAGATTTTGTAGGTAAGAGGGTCTAACTGGCTGGAGACAGAGCAAGGTCATACACTAGTTAGATACTAAAATTATATACATACCCTGATCCAAGGAGCATCACGGAGCGGGCACATAGAAGGTGCACCTAGAGGAACCAGTGCCACTCAAGCTTCTCCATTGAGACCATGAGGTGACAACTGTATCCAGGAGGTGCATCCAGCGCACTTCTTTTTGCAACAGTATTTTTTCTCTATTCCCTCCTCTCGTGAGTGGGGGTACCCTTTCCAATATTTGGTAGCATAGTTGAGAAGCATTATGTCTATTTTCTCTTAAGTGTTGCGCGACTGGGGTATCAAAAGTGGGACTGCAAATTTCGGTTTTGTGCTGAGACACACAATCTTTTAGGGCACGAATCGTATTGCCTACATAGCCAAGCCTGAGAAAGTAAACTACAAAATCAGTTTGGCAAGTAGAAAACCCTTTTAATTTAATACGCTGTCCTGTCCTGGGATGGGAACAAAATTCCCCTTTAATTATCCCACTGCAATGATTGCAGCTCAAACAAGGGTATGTTCCACGAACAGGTTTGGAGATAAACGTCTGTTTTTTTGTGGTCAGAGAGTCCGCCCTAATTACCATGTCTCTTATAGATTTTCCCCACTTATTAGCAAATATTGGGGGATTTTTAAAGAGATGTCCTGTGTGTTTGTTGGATTGCAATGTAAACCAATTCCTCCGTATGATCTTTTGTGTTTGAGGTGTAAGTGGTGAAAAGGTACTTACAAATGGGATTCTAACCTGCTTGGGTCTCTCAGTCGTAGAGAGCAGCTCTTCACGGTTCATACAATTCATGATGTTAGTGATGACAACATAGTGAATGAACGTCTGACTGACTTTTCAAAAAAAAGAATTTGGATAAGGGGTATCCCCGCCTCTTACGAAAGGCCAAACGCAAGGCTCTGGGTATGAACTGCTCTCTTTAAATGCGCTACCTGTGTCTTTTCAGAGATCAAGCTGCTTTTACACTATTCACCGGCTCCTATTAGATCAGATTGGTTTGGCAAGACATGTTTTCACTAATAGGACTACTATGAGAGAGCTTTGACTCTATGTGAAATCCTTACAGATGACCTATCCGGGGTCTCCTATATATATCTCATACACAGATATAAGCCACGTGTTGCTTATACAGCTGAGTGACAGTTGGCAAAAGGGGCAGCCTGTATCTTTTACATTGGAGCATGAAGATATGTTTTATAGGATAGAATCTTATGAATCTCAAGCTTGTTAAATTCTGCTGAAGCTTTCCCTATGTTCAGTTTGTACCATACCTGCTCTTGTATCTGCAAGCATGGTCGACCAATGGGATATCTGTAAAGAACTTTTAGTACAATTGGATTGGCGGGCTGATTACTTAAGTAAGAATTTTAACGCCAATCATTTAACGTGTCCCTTTTCTAAGTCTTACGTTAAACAGTAACTGCAAAGTGGATGTGTGTCTAAGCAAAAAAAAAAAAAAGAGGTTTCCATGCTACTGAGTGGCTACAAAACAGTCTCTGCATATGCCCAGATTGTCAGTGAACCCTGTTTATCATTCTCAGGTACAAGTGGGATCCAAGTAAAACTTCTGACGAACTTGTTTAGCCTTGGTGTGTCCAACCAATGGTGCCTGCATCAGTATCATGTGGATTTCGATCCAGCTTTCACCTCCAGAGCTCTGAAAACTGCCTTGCTCTACAGTCATGAGGACATCCTAGGCAAAGCCAGGGCTTTTGACGGTGCCACTCTCTTCCTGCCTCGTAAGCTGCAAAATAAAGTAAGATATTTTTTTCTCTCTATTTCAATAGTAAGCTACTCTAAGGTTTCTGTTAAAAAAACAAACAAAAAAACAGCTCTCTGCCGTGAATATTGATCATATATCATATATCACTTTAACCCCTTAAGGATACATGACATGTGTGACACGTCATGATTCCCTTTTATTCCATAAGTTTGGTCCTTAAGGGGTTGAAGCACCTTCATTTAGATGAAGGCCGGAGAGACCCTTTTAAGGCTTATAGTTTATGGGGTTCATCCTTGTTTTAGCTACTTTACTCTATCAGTTACTCTCGTCCTCCCTTTTTAATCTCCTGTGCACCGACAGTCACCCATCTGATGGCACACAGAGCTGCTCCACCTGACTTGCTTTGTTTTATGTAAATTGTAATATAGGACTTAGATTGGTTCAGGGTAGCATTAGGGTGGCTTAGGGGAGTTTAGATTAATGGGTAGAATTCCAGTGAAACTAAATCAAACTAATAATGAGAATCTGGTTTTAATTTGGCTGTTTGTAAATAGTTGAGTTTACAAACACACATATATGTAGATGTGACTCATTGTAACAGCTAACCACATAGAAGCTGAATGGAAGCGAAGAAAATATTTAGCTATAACTTAGTTTGCCCTTTTCAAATAGTCGGATGGGTTTCACACAGCAGACTATTGTTTAAAAAAAACAAATTGGACAAACGGAATGCCCTTTCGCTTCCATTTGGCGTTTGAGTGGAACCTTTATTGACTTTTCGGTACCTTTGGATCGTTTTTATCTTATTTAATTAGATATCCTTAGAATCTAAACTATTCTCTACTACAGGAAATACGTGACTGTATTTTTAGGAATCAAAAGTGGCCACATAATGCATAGATTAATGTATTTCTAGATAATTTATTCTGTATAGGGTACACTTTTATTTAAAAAGTGTGTTGTGCAAACACACACTGCTGGACTCTACAGGTTTACATGTATATTGCTGATGTTGAGGATTTCTTTTTAGGTTACAGAGCTCTCCAGTACTACCAAAAATGGGGAACTTGTAAAAATAACGGTCACGCTGACAAATAAACTGCCACCAGGCTCGCCAGTCTGCATTCAGTTTTTCAACATTATCCTCAAGAAGTAAGTTTGTGTTATTTACTTATTTGGTGTAGTTATTAAACATGCTGCCATTACTATTTTTTTTTTTTTTTTTTTAGTTAACATGGAAGTTTAGTACAGGTGAAATGGCAGTGCTAATTAGCCCTTGTTTGTCTAAAGCTATCAGACTAACAAAAAGCCCATTTATACATACACTCATGTGTCAATGAGAAGTTTATGTTTCCAAATCCTGTATTGGGCAGAGGGTGATGGCAGTACATTATCCCTTTTAATTCTCAGTTTGACAGTGAATTCTTCTTTTGGAACTTAGTCTGCGTTAGAAATTGCTGTTAATTTAACAAATCTAAATATTCTTAAATGTATCAACTGACTGAAATTGGCTTTATAACAGAGCACGGGGTCTAAAGCAGATTGACAATGACAATAAAAAAATAATGTTACTCTTGCCCAGACCCTCATAAAATACAGTTTTGTGTTGGAACTTTGTTTGTTATGCTGTTCTGAATGCATTTTGAGTTTGATTTAAGATACATATTTATTGAACCTCCCCCATGTTTTTAAAATACAGTAAATGTACAATAATTTAGCAAAGGTTTTTTTTCTCATAGTCTTTCTCATTAGTTTAAAAATAATATTAAGGCCCTTTGTCACTTTTAACCTTGATATAATTTGTTCATGTATTTTTCTAGGATTCTTAAGAGTCTTTCCATGTACCAGGTTGGACGCAACTACTATAGTCCATCAGACCCAGTGGATATTCCACAGCACAGGTATTCTAGAATTATAACGGTCAAACAAACAACTTCTCAAGGCTAATAAAAGCAACAATATAGAGACTTGCATTTTTATACAATAGTATTGTCTGTTATTTTAGTATTATGAAAGATAGATCAAATAAAACCTAGTAAAGATATAGGTGAAGATGTTGTAGTGTATAATTCCACATTGCATGTCCCTACACAAATTGTAAGAAATGTATTTATCGGAATACTTTTTTTGGATTGAAAACTAACAGGAAGGCAGAGGTCAGATATTTTGAAATTTTCAAATTGGGCAAAAGTTTTTAAGTGGGCTATCTATTGATTCACACCCGCATCCTCTTCTCCATTTCATATTATATTTTAGCATACTCAGGTAATGCTAAGTTATTATTATGTTATTATTTATATAGCGCCAACAAATTCTGCAGCGCTTTACAGTGGGTGGACGAACAAATATGTACTGGTAACCAGACAAGTTGGACACACAGGAACAGAGGGGTTCAGGGCCTTGCTCAATGAGCCTACATGCTAGAGGGAGTGGGTTAATGTGGCACAAATGATAAGTATAGTATTAGACTAATAACAGTTGCAAGAGAGGAATCAGCTATTAACAGTTTAATTGATACGCTTTTATGAAGAAGGGGTTTTTTAATGAGTTTTTGAAGGAGTGGAGAGTAGGTGAGCATTGAACAGAGTAGGGAAGTGAGTTCCACAGGAACGGTGCAGCCCTCGAGAAGTCTTGAAGGCGGGCATCAGAAGTGGGAGTAAATAATGAAAGCACATACTTTTCTGAAAAATTACTCGCTATGGGTGACAAGTGGCTGAAGTGTCATCTAATACTTTCAGCCAAGTAAACAAGGACGTCAGATCAGTGGCTTGGGGAACACTACTTAAGTGTGTAACTGTTCAAAAACGGTATAACCTGGTTATTTACTTTTATTTGTCAATCAATTTTTATTGAGTAGACATAGAAAGAGTGCTGTATCGTAGCATTTGAGTAGGATAACACAAGTAAGATGAGGCTAATTATACACTCTATTTTTTTTTAACATGGTTTCTTTTTGGAGTGCAGAGTAGTATACAGGCTTTAGCAATGGCTTAAAACATAAAATCGTAGACCCCATGCACATAAAACCCACTCACACCTCCTGTTACTATCTCTCCTCCTTCTTCTATCAGCTGGTGATGTCTCTCCCAACCCAGGGCCCTTCACCTACTCTGCAGACACTAAGACAACCAGAGACCACTCAAACCTCACAACAATACCCTGCCCTTTACCCTCATTTGCCAACATTCCGTATGCACTCTGGAATGCCGTTCTGTCTGCGGCAATCTGAAATCAACAGCCATACACAGCCTTTTCATCTCAACCTCACTCACACTACTAGCATTCACAGGGACTTGGCTTTCCCCTTCTGATAGTGCTACTCCTGCCTCTTTATGTTTTGGTGGGCTACCAATCTCCCACACTCCCAGACCCAACAACTGTAAAGGAGGTGGTCTAGGTATCCTTCTCCATCATCAATGTACCTTTCAATCAATCGCCCCTGCCCTATCCTTTACTTCCTTTGAAGTACACACGGTCCCCCTATTTAAACCCAATCCTTTAAGAATTGCTGTCATCTACTGCCCCCCGGTCATCCTAGGCTATTTATTGAACACTTTTCTTCCTGGCTACCTTAATTCCTCTCCTCTAGCACTCCTTCCCTTATACTTGGGGATTTCAATATTCCAATCAACAACCCCAACTGCACTGATGCCTCTCGTCTGCTCTCTGTAACCTCTTCCTTTGGCCTCACGCAGTGGTCTAGTTCAGCAACCGATACAGCGGGAAATACTCTTGATCTCGCCTTCACCAGCCTCTGTACCGCCTCTAATCTCTCCAATATTTATTTTCCTCTATTTGACCATCATCTAATGACTTTTGACATCAGCACACCCAAGACCCAACTGAAATCACCCTCGGCACATCAATATCACAGAAAACTCCCAACGTCTTGACCTAGGGCACTTCTCCACTAACCTCCAAACTCTCCTTTTACCTGTCTCAAACCTCACCTGCCCTAGCTCTGCAATCTCCTTCTACAACTAGACATTACCACCCTCTCTTCTCAACAAGACATTATGGCACCTCCTATACCTAAACGCAGCAAGTGCCCCCAACTACAACCTTGGCACACCAAGCTGACTCGATACCTCCAAAAATGCTCCAGAACTGCTGAACGCTGCTGGAGAAAGTCTCACTCCGTATCTGACTTTCTCCACTATAAATTTATGCTGTGCTCTTACAGCGTGGCTCTTTCCTCTGCAAAAGTAAATTACTTCAATAACCTCATAACCACACTCTCCCGTGAACCCAAACGACTATTTCCCACTTTTAACCCTGTTGCTCCTCCTATCGACTTAACTTCCACAAACCTTGCAACTCACTTCACTGACAAGATCTCTACAATCAGTGATCTCTCATCTCTCTCCTTTCCCTTACAATACTTCCTCCTACCTCACTCTCTCCACTGTTCTATGTTCATTTGCACCTGCTACAGCGGAAGAGATTTCTGATCTACTCCAGTCCTTCCGCCCCACCACCTACTCCCTTGATCATATTCCCTTGTATCTCATCCGTACTCTGTCTCCTTCTCTTGCTTTGCCTCTCACTAAAATTCTCAATCTCTCCCTCTCAGGGCATATTTCCATTACCCTTCAAACATGCGACTATAACCCTGATTCTAAAAAAGCCCAACCTTGACCCTAGCTCCCCGTCCAATTAACGCCCTATCTCGCTACTGGCTTTTGTGTCCCAAGATCCTTGAAAGACTTGTGTATGTGAGATTGACAGACATCCTTGAGTCCAATTCTCTTCTCGACCCACTTCAATCTGTTTTCTGCGCTTAACACTCTGTGGTAACAGCTCTGACCAAAGTATCAAACAATCTACTCATCGCAAACTCTCATGTCCACTAAATACAAAAAAGGTGTAGCGCTACATACAGATACAGAGTCGTCCAGAGTCTGAATATCTGTCACTCCAAAAAATAGAGACCGCAATTGTGAAATAGTGTCCTAGAAAAGAAATTATAAACTCATAGTGTGACACTGTAATCAAATATGAAGAAACTAAAAATCTGAATGAAACCACTCACATATTCCTGAGCTAATAAACCTAGCTCAGGGGTAAAAGCTCCTAGGTCTGTGAAGGCGACCTTTCCCCTTCTTTAGTAGACTTCTTTCCCACGCTGTAGCTAGGGCTCAAGCAGAGAGAATATATGGTGCAGTATAATACGGAACCAATATCATATGGATAACATAAGTGTATATACTCACAAATATGGAGCCACTCTATAGGCTCTTTTCCAGCTCGCTATGTAGTTAAGGACTCATGTCCAATCGATCACCAAATCCTGCCACTTCCATCTCAAAAACATTGCGCGCATCCACCCCTACTTAACGCCAGATGCAGCTAAGGTGCTGGTCCATGCCACTGTCCTCTCTCGCCTTGACTACTGCAATCCGCTTTTCAGTGGTCTTACATGCTCCCAACTTGCTCTATTTCAGTATATTATGAATGCAGCGGCGAGGCTCATCTTCTTGTCCGCCCACACCTCCCATGCCTCACCCCTCTGTCAGTCCCTGGATTGGCTTCCCGTAAGATAAAGGGCTCAATATAAAATTCTGGTTCTTGCTTTCAAATCTCTACATAATGCTACTCCCACCTATCTATCCTCCCTAATACACAAGTATGTCCTGTCTAGGCCCCTACACTCTGCCGAAGACCGGCGTCTATCCTCTGTTCGTACTCCCACCTCTGATGCTCGCATTCAAGACTTCTTTAGGGCTGCTCTGTTCCTGTGGAACTCACTTCCCTTCTTCGTTAGACGCTCACCCAGTCTCCACACCTTCAGAAAATCATTAAAAACTAGCTTTTTCACAAAAGCATATGAATGTTAATGGCTCCAATAAACCCCACTCTAAGTCTTCATTAAGTACTTTTCTACCAATCTACTTTTCTAATACTTCCCTTACCTTTTGTGTCACTTTACTCCACTCCCTCTAGCATGTAAGCATGTGACCAGGGCCCTGAACCCCTCTGTTTCTGTGCGTCAAACTTGTCTGGTTACAATGACATGTTTTTTAGTCTACCAATTGTAAAGCACTACGGAATTTGTTGGCGCTATATAAATATAATAATAATAATAATAAAATAAGATATGATAACAGATATTCACAGTCAAGAAATGTTGCACTTTTTTTTTTGTAAAAAGAATGAGAACTAGACAGTTGAAAATGACTCATACGCAAGAGCAGTCATAAGGAAGCAAAATTAGTGTGACCCTTGAGTTGCAGGAGTTGCATGAGAGACATAGGCATAACATCACTTAGCAGTATATATGCAAGTAAATGACATGAAATCGATCAGACTGCTGAACAGACACGTATAGGCTGCTGAAACTAGAGCTACAGAAGTATAATAATGCTTATTTAGGCATAATAAAGGGTGTTCAATGGCAGTTACAGCTAAAGCAGGAGGTTCAGCACCCCTCAGCAGGGCCATATTACGGATGTGATGAACAATCATACCACTCCTTTGCTCTGCATCGGTCGAGGATGTGTGCAAAGTTCACCCATGGGGACTGCACAACGGCACCAAGGTAGGGAATCCTGTTTGTTCCAGGCCTGTCCAGGGAGCAGCGTCTTTTGACCATAGACTCGAATAATCTCTGAGTCCACGTTCTTTCCTTGTGGAGGACCACAGAAGGCCTTAGAGCGCCGTTGAGTAGGTTGTCACCTGTGGGTCTTGAACGCTCTCCGCTTGTATTGGCGGTTTGCTGGCCTCCCGCTCTTAGTGTCCCTCGGACGAGGCAAGCATTTAGAATGGAAAGGTCGTAGCTTGAAAGGCCGATGTGCCTCAAGGGTTTCCCCTCCAACTTCTTTCCTCCACGCAGTATGCGCCCCCCTGCAGACGGAGGTTCTTTTGCACACAGTGTTGTCAAGCGATCCTCCAACTTTGTCCAGAAGCGATCGAAAATAGCTTCTAATCGAGTCAAGTGGTAATTAAGGGAGCCATTTTGGTCTGATCTGCTGGGCGCTAGGCCCCCTGTTGCTGGGGTATCCCCGGCGGCAATTTTGCACAATTCGGCCTCGTGCCAGTAAGATATTGGTGTGATCCACCCCACGCTTTGAGACTACTGCAAACGAGTACAGCTGGGACAGGGATATACCCCTCCGAAGGGGGCGAGGGGGGGATTTGGGCCAGACAATGTGCGAGTCGATTGTGAGGCGCTCCAGCTCAAATTGTGCAGTATATTTGGTGTTATAAGCCAAAAATCATTTGTTTGCTTGGCAGTCAGGCCTCGCCCCCCATTTTTAAGTATTGGGTAAGACAAACTGCAATATAGATATTGTTGTAGAAGAAAATGCAGACATATTAGTATTTATGGGCATGTAAGGTGTAGTTGATAAGTAGCCATACATTAAAGGTAAGTCGTTCGGGCAGACATATGGTGATAAAGGGATTAATAAACAGTGAAAAACTGTTAAACTTGAACCAAATGCTGAACAGAGAATAAACCCCCAGGAGGCCCCTTGGGTAGTTAGGGAGTGAGTGCCCCGTTGAATGAGTGGAATAAACAGAAACAGTAAAGGGACATATAGAATCAGCTGCTAATTTAAATGATAAACAAGAAAATAAAACAGGTGCTCAAAATGTAACAGTGTGGAAGGGATAGATGGACGGCACTATGCCCACGAGCGTCCCAGCCCAGACTCTGTGCTCCATTCATCTGATGCCCGGCAGGGCCCGCAATGGAAAGATCTGTGACAGGCCAGATTGTCCCTGTGTAAGGCGCAGGATCCCATTGTGGCGACAATATGTGCCTAGTAATTGTGGTTGTCCCCCCCAAATTACTCCAGATACGGCCCAGGCTTGTAGAGGAGCCATCACCCAAACTCTACCGTCCTGAATCTGAAAGCAGTCCAAGGGGCCTCTCCCATTGGGCCTCAGTCAAATGGTGACTCTGCCGCGGTGCCCTCCAAGGACGTGGGTGGCGTGTGGGGGATCTCTCCCAGTTAACTCTCTGCCCGCAAAGATTTGTCTGCTGGGAACTTGTTTAGACATATAACCAGGGGCTCCGAGGGTGTCGGCTTGCAGTCTGTGCTTCAGAGAAATGCAAGCATGTTGTTTCTGACTTGTGAGCTGGGCATGGTTACGTGCGTGGCCTGCAGCCCTTCTCCGATTTCAAGGGTAGTGCAGTGTTTACAGCGGTGTGTCGTAGCAGATTGGCCCAAAATTGTAAGCTCATTAAACTTCTGCACAATCGAATCTGCCTGCATGGGTAACAACGTAGACCTGCTCAGAGAGTCTTGTTTGGCTGCCATTTTAAACAGAGCTCTGGACTCTCGGTGTTGGATAAGTCCTTGATATTTCCTCTATTCAGCCTCGAAACCCCCTAGTGGGGTCCGGGATAACCCGCACCGGTCCAAAGGGGAGTGAGGGGATTGGTCAGTAACCGATGTTGGGAAGCCAGTGTAGGCCGCAGGCTCCAAAGCTTCGTATCCCCTTCCAGAGCACAAAACTCCCAATCTCGGGCTCGGCAGCTACACCAGTATTTGAATGAACAATAAATTGTAGCTTTCCTGGCCAGGCTCAGTTTAAGAACCGTAGATTTCAGCCCAATAAATCTTGGTCTCTAGGAGCTTCTCCCGCATGCAACCGGTCAGCATGGCGGTCTGGCCCTGCCCCCCTCGACTCCAGGCATCATCACCACTTTATTAATCAAGTGGTTTTGGTTCCAGAATAGTCGTTTCAGAAGATAGTTTTTTGTTTCTTTTAATTACAAATTGTTACTTTTGTTTTTCTAGAACTTATCATTATGAAACTATGAAATTGATCTCTTTTCTCCCCTTTGTCTTATTAAATTTAACTTGAGAAACAGCTATACTGTTTTTTATTTTTATTTATTTTTTCCATAAAAGTCATTTTTGAAGATAAAAAAATGCTTGAGAGTAGTTATCCCTTATCAGCCATCGGAAGGATGAACTATAGTGTTTGATACTGAGCTCTTAAAAACAGCTCTCTTAGCTCTTACCTACACTCTGTTCTTCTGAGCTTTAACCTACACTATGATTCTTTGAGTGTATTCAATTCTGCATTTATTGTTTCATCACTTGATATTGTTTTTAATAAAAAGGATTTTACACAAATAAAAGCTACAATTGTTCTCCTATCGGACCCACATCACTAAATATCCAATAGGCAACGAAAAAATAGTATTAGTATGTGAGAGGGATCTGGGTAATTTCTAGCAGAGCTCATTCATAAAATAAAATACGGTCAGGGAATGTGGAGTTCAATTTTGTATATATATGAGGTCAGTATGGTGGGACAAATACCAATTAGCATCGTATGATGGACTGCAACCTGATGGATCTATTCAGTATCTTTGACATACAGCTTTTCAGATAGGAATTTGGAAAGTGCAGAGAATGTTGATGAAATGCAAGCAGATATCTTGAGTTTATATAGTTAGTGACATTTTGTGGTGAGATTTGTGTACAGCAATACACTTTCTTCTATTCTTGAGTAAAAAAAAAAATATATATATTTTGCCAGACTGATGCTGTGGCCAGGGTTTGTTGTCTCCATAATGAAGCTTGAGAATCAAGTCGTAATGAGTGCAGATGTCAGCCACAAGGTTCTCCGCAATGAAACCGTTCTCGATTTAATGAATGGATTGTTCTCACGAGTTCCCCATGAGCGATTCACTGACGCCTGTGAGAAAGAGGTCCTGGGACAAGTTGTGTTAACCAGGTATTACCAGTGCTACAACAGAAAATGAGAAGAAAATAAAATGTTCAACACAGTGGCTTCACTTGTATCTTTAGAATTAACTAACTGCTCCAGTGGTAAGATATGTCTATTGTTACAAGTTATATTCAGAGTTGACTGCTTTATCTTATGTTTTTAGATACAACAATAAAACATACCGAGTCGATGACTTTGACTGGTCTACCAACCCAACACACACGTTTAAGAAAAAGGATGGCTCAGAGATTTCATATGTAGACTATTACAAACAGGTACACACAATTCTTTCCCCCACATGATAAGTATAGCATTTATGCATAGAATCAAGAGCAAGGTTCCGATGTGATACAATCAGGTCAATGCATGTACAATATTAGTGTTGGATGTCCCTAAGATGTGTCCCTTAACATGTCCCTAAGATTTGTAGTGATAGCTAAGTTTTCTCTAATTAGATGATAATAGTAATTCGTAAGGTGTAAGTTGGCATGAATTAGTGAAGGGACTGTCATTGTCCTTGGCACATTTCACTACCCTTCCTCATAGTAGAGTCTAATTCTCACCAGTACTTATGTAGTTATTTCACCATGTCACACTTCCAACATTAGACATGTCATCATTATCTCATTAGAACTGTAAGAGTTCATGATGTGGATTAATGTTCCTAATTATTACAAATACTGGTCACTGTTTGAGTACAATTTCTAAAAACTGTGTTCATTTCATATATTGCTAAAGATTTTTGATATTTTTGAAATTATAAGGGCAAATAAAGCACTGATCCAAAACCTTTGTGTCAAAGAACAATACCTTTTTGTCAAAGGACAAAAGCTAAAGAACAGCTCAAATTAAAGTTGCAGCGGGCACTTTCTTGCAGTTGACAGTTTTAAATGAAACATTGAAAATCACTTATAATTTGTGTTAGCCTTTTTACAAGATATGTGCCTTTTAAAAAAAAAAAAAAATTATAATAATGGAAGGAGAAACACTGGGGATATTTATAAAAGTTTTGTAGACAAAGCCAGGGCAGACATTGCAAATAAAGAGGAGAGATGCTAACTTTTATTTTTTCCTCATCTCTGTATACTTTCTATGCTGACGCCACTTATAACAATGATCAACAGGGAGCTAAGATGGAGGTGCCTAGTTGGAAAATAAAGGAGTGTAAATTTCTACATTTAAAGGGACACTACAGTCACCAAAACAACTTTAGATTAATGAGGCCGTTTTAGAGTATTGATCATGGCCCTGAAGTCTCACTTCTCAATTCACTGTCATTAAGGAGTTAAATCACTTTTGTTTTGTTTATGCAGTCCTAGCCACACCTCCTCTGGTTGTGACTCACACAGCCTGCATACAAATAAAATGGTTTAATTTTCAATCAGATGTAACTTACTTAAAAAAATGTTTATCTGCTGTTATGTAATTTGATCTTTAATTATATGTAGGAAGCTACTGCAGGATCGAACAGGCTACTAACAGAGCAGGAGATAACACATTCTAAATTAAACAGAAATAAAGGAAGTGCAGACATTATATGACTCTTTACAGGAAGTGTTTATGAAGGCTGTGTAAGTCACATGCAGGACGGCGTGACTAGGGCTGAATAAACAAAATGATTTAACTTCTAAATGGCAGATAATTGAGCAGTGAGACTGCAGGGGCATGATCTATACACCAAATTGCTTTATTAAGCTAAGGTTGTTTTAGTGACTATAGTGTCCCTTTAATTGTATTATTAGACCTCCCAATACATAACAAATGCATTTGTGTTGACTATAGGGATAAGTAAATATAATATTAAAAAATTCTTGGAAGTGACATTTCCCCTTTAATGACCTTGCCTGATTAGTTCCGCATAAATATATATTCTTTATTCAACATCTAAAATATTCTGATAAATTAAATGTATTTTACTTGTTACTAAGCCTTGTTTTAAGGAACGCAGTCATTTTGTTTGACCTCATAGGGGAGTAACAATATTAAACATAAACAATTAAATCACACTGTTGAGGATGACAACATTTTTACTCTGATATAAAAATAATAGCTTCTTTGGAAAAAATATATTTTTGCTTGAAAACTTAATATGTTATGACTAGCGCTGTGCACCTTTTTTTTCATTTGTTTATATACCAATTTCAAGACTTTATCTAGCATGACGTGGTTATCTTTCAGAAAAATAGAGGTGACACAGGAGAAGGGTTTCCGAACTCCTGGAAATCACACAATTACAAATGGCATGCCACAGTTTTGTTCTTCATTGTTTAGACATGGAAAAATCGAAAGGAGTTATTTTAAGGTGACATTCTTTCACACCCGGAAAAGTCTCTAAGAAAAATAGAAAAAAAAGGAAATGTTGCCTGCATAAGTATGTTAACTGTGTGCTGTAAAAGCTCTCTGTTTTTACAGCTGAATTAGAATGACTTAATACGTACATAATTACCTCATCATTGGCCTCCACGTGTAAACCATTACTGTTAATGTCACATTTTCAGCATATAAAGATCACTTTTAAAGGATTATTTGGCAGGCTGTAGATTTGAAGAAAAATTAATCCCAAGAGATTTTTACAGACGTTAGAAACAAGATAAGACATTGGCTGGAAAATTGTACAAATTAAGATTTAAAATAGTAAGAAATGCCACCATGAAGCAAGCTACATATGTCGTTTTTGGGTGTTTGAGGATTCTGCACTGTATCGAAGATCTAAGTCATTCTTCATGGAATCCCTCATTCAAAATCACCACTTCTAAATCGATTTCCTATTACAGCAATATAACCTATCCCTGACGGATCTGCATCAGCCCATGTTGGTGAGCACTCTGAAGATGAAGAAAACTGACACCTCCGACACTCCACGTGCTGTTCACCTGCTTCCAGAATTCTGCTACTTAACTGGTAAGTACAACATCTTGAGAGAACAGCACACCAGGGACACCATGTAATGCCTGTACCTCCACCAGAAATAGAATAGTTCTGTATCGGCCTGTTCAATAGGGAAAAAGGGGGTTTATTGGAATTTCAATTCAGGTGTTAACTTTCTAATGAAAATAGTACAGCTAACTAGCAAAAAACTTAAATCATAAAATGCTTTAATAAACAGACCTCAATTTGTGTTTTTCATGAAGGAATCTAACTGCAGTGGTGTTTGACGTGCTCACTACAGCACATTGCAGCTATATTGCAGTGAGAGAGGAGAGAGATGGGGGGGAAAAAGAATGTAGGAAAAAAGAGATTGGAAAAAAAAAATACATTAGCCAATGAATTGTTCAGAGTATTCCGTTGACGCATATAGAAAAAAAACATCAATCACGTGTATGTTTTGCAGTGACATTTTTGAGACAGAGGCTATAAGAAATGAACTTTTCAAAAACTGCTGGGCCATATTAACACAACACACAGGTGGACTTTTCTTAAATAATCAATGTTTTTTTTTAAGTAGTCTGTTTGCTTTATGGGCGATGTCCGGAGTGATATGTTCGTTGTTAAATTTCACATGATTTATTGCAAATAATAAGTAAGTATAAGTAATTTTACTTACAAAACATGCGCCGTGCAAGTTAAAATTTAAAGATTGAAATAGGTTACTAATATATAATAATTTTCCGTTCCTTTGCTGTCGTCAATCTTAAAAGAGACTAAGAAAAATAAGTTAAAGTTTACTCTGGGATAAAGTCCTCTGAGTACGGGACAGTAACTGATCTGTCTGCCATAGTGTGCTTAAATTTACGATCATTGCTCTCTCACTCTCTGAAATGTGCTAATAGGCTTTAGAAGCCAGTTGTCAGTGAAAATGTCTTGCCTTTTAGTAGGGCAATGGTATGCTGGGGAGCAATTTTGTTAAAGCACTTGGTAACTTCTGAAGTTATTGCGCTGCCTTGGTTCAACAACCGTCCCTATTGGCAGCCTAAGGCTTCTAATGATGGCGAGAAAAAGGACACATATCTTTCCAAATTGTCATTTGAAATCACATGTATTGCCAAGTAAAGGATTAAGGGTTCATTTCTGTCTTAATCAATGGGGGAACATTTTGCTTAATCACTGGACAGAATTTGATTGAGTGAAGGAGCAAGCTTATCATAGTGTAGCTGAATTCATTACTTCAACTCATTTCCATTTAGTGATTGCACCTTGATGGCATTTTACTGGTAGATTAGTAAATAAATCCAAAAATAGTGTAGTCTGAGTATTAAAAAATAAGTAAATAAAAAATATATGCATACTTGAATCATTTTGAAAAAGTCATAGTATTCATTTTTACATTTTTTCCCCCTCTTCTCTTAAACGGAAGTGAAACCTCTTATTGTCCTAATGCATCCATCCATCAAAGTTCTTCCTTTCCTTGGCTTTTATTTTAATTACTATTACCCACAGCCTTATAATTCTTTTTTTTTTTTTTAAACATGGGCAACAGATAATTACTACATTCTGTCATTTTGCATGCAAACTGTGAATGCATGCACAAAACTTACTTTAACTTTTCTTTCCCCAATAAATCATCAATTTGAAATGAAGGGCATGCTCTGTTGCAAAGACAACTTTAATGATTCATGTTCCAGGTTAGGTTGCTTTCTACTCTCTCAAATAAATAAAGCAAAAGTTATTTCTATGCTGTGTTTCTTTCCTAACATGTATTTCTTAAAACAGTAATAGCATTGATCAATAAATAATTTGGGCACAGTTGCCAGGCTTGTCAGAGATAAGTATTGTCAACCCCACATAAGTAATAGTTACACTCAGCTAGTAAAACCAGATTATTAACTGTTCAAGGTAAAGATGCGGTTTGCTTTTATTGCTTGGGTGTAGTGCAATTATTAAGCAACTTAATTGTTCTCATTATACTTGACCTTTAAATATGAAAAGCTGAGTTGAGATAATGCATTTGGAGCAGTAATTTGAACTCTCTCACAAACATGTTTACTTTCAGAAGAAATGTTTGGATGGAGAATTGAATTTTTTTGAGAAAGCATTCTAGGCCCTTTGCTGTCACTTCTACCTTTTGTATTGGTCTGTTTATATCGTATTGTTTTTTCCTCAAGTGTACAGCGCTGTGGACTATGTTGGCGCTTTATAAATGTCAGTAATAGATAAATAAATATATCGTTGCCATGAGTATGCTTTATACATGTGGAAAGATGTTCAGTTCGCGTGAATGTCCGTTTTTTTTTTTGGGATGACCGATTTCAAGGGCAAGGTGATGAGAGTAATTTGACACATGGACAGCCCAAGGCATCTTCTCAAATTTACAGCACATACCCTGGCCTGCTCACTGCTTCCATAACCCAGAATGATTTTGTTTGGAAGCCTTTGTTGCTTTTCCTTCATTGAAGCCCACTTCCACTTCCACTGATTATGAAAGTAAGTTCCTCTCTCACTCCTCTCCAAATACTTCCACCCATGCCTCTCTCGTATGTGTTAGCCAAATTGGAAGCTATAAATCACGCTCTGTTATTTTGTTGTGAGCTGAGATTAATTTGTGCTTTATTTTTGCCGAACCTCGATCTTTATTATGCTGCCCATCACATCTTCTGACTATGGGCTGTATCACTGGACTCTGACTTATGCATGCCAATTGTGACTGACACCTGGAAAAGATACGATTCCTAACTTGTATTGACTTCTACTATCTGGACTCTAAACTAACCCTTTATTTTCCACAGTTAATCCTGCCTGGAAGCTAGCTACTGCTACTAGTATTTACATCCTTAATCTGCCTGACATGCCAGGTTGCTACTGCCTAATCACAACTAGCCATATTGTCTGCATGGTGAATTACTCTGCATTTGAGGTACCTACTATGAAAGTTACTATAACACCTCTCCCAACAAATTAGGCAATGCTCTGTCCTGAGAACCCATCGAAAATGGTTACACAGGGAACTATTTGTGTCTGTCTTGCTTTGTAATGTTCCTTCATGGAAAATGGAATCTACTTGTGCAGCATGCAATAAATGCCTATGACATCGCTGTGGTTCTGCGTGAAAAGATCTGGAGAGGATTCCAAGAAAGAGAATGACTTACCTCTGTCATCATGAAGGCCGCGTTAGGATACATAGATTCTCTGTTGAGCAGAAAGTCATACTGTGATACTGTCAGCTGTTTACATTGGGAGGGGGACTATTAGTTGAAACACTGTCAAGGTGGATGAGTCCAGAAACAGACCTGCTACCTGAGTGTAAAGCCTCATATGTATTGTCTAAGGGGCAAGCCTCCAGTGCTTGAGACTGCGGCCCAATTATTTTTTTTCTTCAGACAGTTTTGCTCTGCTTTTACCATAAACCTTCTCTCATCACATAGGTCCAAAAATAAATTCAGTAGACTTGGCAAGGTATTTGAGAAGTTCTTTGCCATTTTGAAAAATTTTGGATTCTGTAGACGCAACAGTGCTGCGGGATCATGTACACTATACAATGGAAGTAGTTTAACCATAATGTTGTCTATCTTTTAGAATGACTGAATCTTGTCCAGACATTTTTCATTAAGCCTTGAATGCTTTCTCTTGACCTGGACCTTTAAACGTATCTGTATCGCAAGGTATTTTCTTTGAGGGTTTGGCTTTTGAACATCAAATAACACAGGTTTCTCTGACACTCACAACCCCTTACAGGGGTTTCAGCATGTGTGAGTGTGAAAAATGTATCTGGAGTTGCTGTCTCTCACTGGCCTACACAGTATTTTCAGTTCCGGTTGGGTTTGTAAGTATGATATGCAGATGTTATTGGTTCCCTCTCTAATGATTCAACTGAGCTGATCCATGGATGAAGCCTGTAGGGCATTAACCTTATGACACACTATTTTAATTTTGCCTCTGTTCTCTGTACTCTATTACACTGTGTTTTACCTAGTTTACAAGGTATTGGCTTGCTGTTCTGTGACAAAATTAAGCTACAACATTTATTTTTATTAAGCACTATATCATTCATCTATTAATATTTGAGGATAACAATTAAAGGATCACTATGGGGTCAGGAACACAAACATGTATTCCAGACCCTATAGTGTTAGCACCACCATCTAGCCCCCCTGGGCCCCTCATGACTCCATAAATATAGCACAATTCTACTGTATTCAAGCCAGAAGCTGTAGATCTGCATGATGTTTGCCTCAAAAAAAACAAGCAGTATGCTGACATCATCAGAAGTGGTAGCCTGATCCAATCACAATGCTTCCCCATAGGATTGGCTGAGACTGACAAGGAGGCAGATCAGGGGCAGAGCCAGCATGATTCAAACACAGCCCTGGCCAATCAGCATCTCCTCATAGAGATGAATTGAATCAATGAATCTCTATGAGGAAAGTTCAGTGTCTGCATGCAGAGGGAGGAGATATTGAATGTTTGGATGCATTTTAGGCAGCCATGACCCAGGAAGGATATCTAACAGACATCTGAGGAGTGGCCAGTTATCACTAGGCTGTAATGTAAACACTGCATTTTCTCTGAAATGACAGTGTTTACAGCGAAAAGCCTGAAGGTAATGATTCTACACACCAGAACAAATTCAATAAGCTGTAGTTGTTCTGGTGACTATACTATACTGTCCCTTTAAGGAGTATGTAAAAACACAAATACAAAAAAAAATGTGATGGAATAAAAATGTTGTCTCAAAAACATGAGCTCCTTATTTTGCAATCCCAATGTGTACTATTAAGCACGGTACCGGTATTTATTATAATAATATATTATCACTCAGCTTTCGGATTTGTGCTAGTACATGCACAACTTTCTCTTAGTCAAGCAATTCTTTTATTGTGTAGAATACATTGTGTTGTTTTCAAATAATACAAAATGTAGCAAAGCACCTGAAGGCAAACTAACTTTTAAAATGAGTACATAGTTAAAGAGGCATTTAACTTATCATTTATTCTGCGTTATTTAACTCGATACCAGTCTTGCACATTACTATTTAAATTAGCATAGTAAATTAACACCTGCTCTTAATTTAGATTTTTCTTCAGGATATTGCCCTAATCAGTGCCACTGTAATGCATTTACATTATCCCTTTTATAAAATTGCTGACTGAACTATTTGTCACCTGCGAAATGTGTCATTAATACTACTTATACAATGTTAACTTCAACATTTAAAGGAAACATTAAAATGTCAGACAGTCCCCCTGCTGGTAGGAGGTGTAAAAAAAAATAATTAAACATGTTTAAAATTAATTAAAAGTATTATATATATATATATATATAATATGCATGCATATTATATATATGTAACGTCATACAAAGTGTATTTTAATATTAATATAAGTACATATATATTAGTATTAAAATACACTTAGAATGACGTTACATATTTAATATGTATATATATTATTAGTGATGTCTCGAACGGTTCGCCACGGACGGCGAACATAAACAAACTTTGACCCTGTACCTCACAGTCAGCAGACACATTCCAGCCAATCGGCAGCAGACCCTCCCTCCCAGACCCTCCCACCTCCTGGACAGCATCCATTTTACATTCATTGTGAAGCTGCATTCTTAGTGAGCTGTACTATTGACTCTGTCCTGAAGGGGTTAATATGGTGTATTTTTGCATGCTCAAATCATTATAGATTATGCAGAAAATAAATAAATGTTTTGCTGAATGCTGCAGCACAAGCCTGCCTCTATAGCCACACCCCATCACTCCAGAAAAATACTTCCTTATCAAAAATGTAAGCACGCAGTTCGCACACTGACAGTACTGAATAATCTGAACTAAAAAAACAACCTGCATTAGAAGTAGAGAACAGCTATGGTGGCATATAATAAGGATATCACTACCTGTTTGTAGTTTCTCTGACTGTCTGCAGCGTAGTTGTGAATTAAAAACAGCTCACTTATAGCTGTTGGGGCTAAGACTTTATGCATAACATAGATAAGGAAGTTGTTCTGACATGATGGTGTGGCTTAGAAGGCAGGCTTAAGTTACGGTGCACACATAAAAATACACTAATAATCTTATCAGGCTACTTAAAATCACCTAAGAAAACAAATATGGGGATTAAGTTCCACTATATGGCCATATTGTGTTAAGCCCATCACTACTTCACAAGTACCCCAATATCGGTGGGTCCTCCACTAATTCTAAATGTAGGAGGCAGATTAAATAGTGCTAGTGTTAAATAAGTTAAATTTTATTAAATTAATCTATTGTGAGCACTGTGAGTATACAAAATACAGAACGTATGTGATAAAAACAGTTAAGCAGTGTCAAGACTAAACTGTCCAAGTGCTTGGATGAATATACTCACAATGCAAATCAATATGTGCTAAATGAAAGTTATATTAAAGTGACATTACTATTCAAAAACTCCTCATATATATACACACCTGTGGTCACCTCCAAAGGGGCCTCTGAATCTCGGGACTTGGGTAGGGTCCCGAAGGCAGTGGTTACCAACCTAGGCCTCAAGTACCGCCTATCATTCCAGGATTTAGGGATTACCCTGTTGTGTCTAAAGTGTTTTTTTTTTTTTCTTCTTCTAAAAATACATTAGACACAACTGGGTAATGCTTAAATCCAGGACTTTTAGGGTGTACTTGAGGACTGGGTTGGGAAGCACTGCCTTAAGGGAATCTGGTCTGAATTCCAACTTGCATTCTGCAGGAATGGTGCTGCCGTAGTAACCAATGTATTCCTCCATTGTCTGGAGGTTGGAGTTTGGTATTTACTTTCTCCTACATTGATTGAATGGAATCAGGATAATCAAAGGTTTAATCCAAGCACCATGACTACTTCAGTGATTTGAAGTGGTCATGGTCTGTATGTGCAGCATTTTTCTTTGACTTGCTGCGCATACAGAGTTTAACCGCTCTGCTGCCGGAGGTGATACTCCACATCCGGCAGCATCATTGGGGTGTCATCAGTAGAGTTCCATGCTGACTTACGTCAATTCTTGATGCCGTCAGTAAATAAATGGCGATGGCAACAGATTCTGAAGCTCCGCAGAAGACAAACGCACGTCACTGGTCCACCAGAGAGCATCAGGTAATGGGGTAAACTGTTGCTAAACGGTTTGCCCCATTACCAGTGGACTGGGCTAGGATATCCCTGGCATCATAACCACTACAGCGGCAAAAATGTGAAATTAAGTTTTCCTTCTATCATTTTTACCAAGGTTAGAATTAGTAAGGTTTGTTTCCCAAATCAGGAAGTTTATTAGAACTGCATCTACAAGGCCTGTCCAGTATATAAGACATGTTAAAAGGACACTGTAGTCACCAGAACAACTAAAACTTAATGTAGTTGTTCTAGTCAGTCCCTGCAGGCTTTTTGCAGTAAACACGGTATTTTCAAAGAAAATTCAGTGTTTACATTACAGTCTAGGTGAATCCAGTGAATGGCTACTAGAGGTGCTTCCTGTGGCAGTCCAAACATTCAGTGTCTCCACCCTCTGCATGGAGACACTGAACTTTCCTCATAGGGATGCATTTATTCAATACATGTCTGTGAGGAGATACTGATAGGCCAGGGCGGTGTTTGGCTCCACCCAGTCCTTGTCCATGGCTGAGATCATCAGAATTGACAATTTCAGCCAATCCAATGCTTTTCGTTGGGAAATAGTTTTATAAGGATTCCCTCTGCTGATTTAAGCAGAGGGATTCCCTTGCTGGCTCTAATCCAAACCCTAATCCCAATCCTAAAATCAATGCTCAATCCATATTAAATATAAACCTAATAATAAACTGAATAATAAATCTAATATTTAATCTAAACCTAATATTAATACATAATCTTTATCCATAATGTAATCCTAATGCCAAATGTTTCCCTCTGCTAATATGAGTACTGATGTAAGCAAAGGGAATTTTAAGATAAAACAGAGTGGTATATTGCTGCCA